GACGATCAAAGAGCGTAGAATATTGGACCGAGCCTGGGTCTGATGAACTCTACTAGACAGGCACCAGCGGTTTGCCTGTTGAAGAGAGCCTGGCTCATGAGCGTTGCGTTAATGGTGGCTTGAACAGCCTTCGACGCATTTTGCTAGCGCAGCAGCGTGTCGGAGAATACAAGAGGATCGGCGTCGGACTATAATATCATTGCACAAGTCAAAGACATTGCATCGGTTGATAGCATGGACGTCAGTACCGTAGAAATACTGTAGTCCATATATTTGAAACTAGACATCTCGAGGCATTCATTGTGTTTTGATGATAATATCTGCGTTGTTACTCTGTAGATGTACTAAAAGAATTTTGAAGGCCTCGTCGCTTCAGTAAGATCCATCCGTGTTTCATCCTCATTACCATGCATTGATTCCCATTCACGAAAGAGATAATAAATGTCATTCGAGAGTAATCACGAGTCCATCACAAATCGTGAGTCCCACAGCGCCTGGCACAAGCGGCCAATAATTTGACTTTTGGTAAAGAAACTGGGGTGGAGCTTACATGGGCCTGAAGTATGAGAAGCTAAAGTCGAAATCACTCATAAGCAGAGTGCTAGAAGCAAAGTGATCCTCTGTGACAGAATTGGCGACGATGTGAAAGGCCAACAGGGAGAACTTCAGCTGCAACCAGTGCACGAGGTCTTGGGAGGAGGCTGGATCAAGCCCGGTGATCTTAGGTATGCCGCGTTCGAAGGAGTGACACGGTGATGTGCTGGCGTAGCTGCTCGACGCAAAAACATGCAAGATAGATAGTCAGATTTGAATAATGAAAAGCACTGATTGCTCGATTGGATGCGATGATATGCATTCTGGCAGCTGTGGAGACAAGAGTTAGGGCACATTCTTATCGTAATGGTTATGGAGGCGTGGGACCGGACAGCCTCAAGTGTTTCGGGCGTCTATTGAAATGAATGCAGGGTACATATTTAAACTGCAAAATACGCACCACTGCAGAAAGACACCCACAAGCCCTCAAAGATCCACGTTGACCGCGTCCAACGCCACCAACCTCCAGTAAGATGCCGGAACTCGCTCCAATCACCATGCCCCTGCGAAAGTTCCAAGGCCATGAAAACGCGTAGCGGCAGTCACAGTGTTTCCCGATCAACGACGGATAGTCACGGGCTCGAATGACACAACGCTTCGTTTGTGGGACTTGAAGACAGGTATTGAATTGAAGAATATGGAAGGGCATCGCAATGGGGTGTGGAGATTGGTAGTATCACGAGATGGGCAATTGATAGCCAGCGGTGATTTTAGTGGAGATATCATCGTCTCGGCATGGAGAAACTGGCGAATCGCTCACCAAAATAGAAGCCCACTCGAAATTTATCACCTCGCTGGATTTTTCTCCTGATGGAACAGTGCTGGCCCCAGTGCATATGACGACAGATTGACAAAACTGTGGAATACCAAAACCTGGGAGCAACAAGGAGACCCAATTGGGGGTGATAGTCCTGTCAGTTGCGTACGATATTCGCCATCTGGAGAACTTCTTGCCATCGCAACAGAAAACATATTGAGACTAGGGGTTCGCTGTGCGAACTTATGACCTTGCTCCGGAGAATTTTAATTCGTGGGAATCGGCCTTGTCGACCTCTTCCAACACTCGTCGTTTCGGACCCCCAAATCTGCGTGACGGCAGTCCTAAGTCTGCTTGTTTTCGTTTTCACTGCGATAAGTCTTTTTTTTTCAGCCAATTAATAGGTTGGCCTTTAGCATATTCGATGTCGTCTTCAGCTTGGTCCTAATATTGCCTTTTGAGCATGTTCGATAAGCCGATTAAAACATCGTAACAGCACGCAAAATGTACGAAAGTTCAACAATCCAAATAGACCAATGCGGCTTCACGCGCTCTACATCAACAGTTTAAATCGTCGTTCAAGCATCGTTTTATGATCCCTATTAGTATGGTCTCGGATGAGCTGTATTTAGCATGTAACTAGACCAAAAATGTGTGCAACGGAGAACAAATGCAACAAGCGAGGAAGCGAGGAAATGATTGTCACTATCAGCGTGAAAATCAGTCCGGATTATCATTGATTAGATGCGGGCAGTGGGTATGGTACAAATCTACTACTAATGCTAAACTCGTTTGCGAACCTCCTGCTGTACAGCCACGAACCTTTCACGCAAAGTATCTGAAGGATGAATAGTTGTAGTAATGTAGTTCATGATCTCGTGGTAAGCATCATCAAAAATAGAGGAATTTACAGAGAAATCAACGAAATGACCAGTACGATGGGCATATAGCACGCAGCGGATTGTTGCGCCACATGCTGCGAACAAACGATCGAGTGGGCCCTTTACAATGTCCAATAATCCGTCTTTCAAAAGGTCATGACCATGTTGATGAGAACTTCGTTCTCCAGTAATCGTCGAACCTCCGTGTCACCCATGCTCTGTGGCCGAGTGAGCGACACCCTACTGAATGACGGAGACTGTCACCTCTTCAATATGGTGAAGGTATCTCGAATCCTCTAGTAGAACACTGACTCTATCTCGCCCATGCGCTGACTCATCCTGTTCCGAAAACAGTGGCAGGCGCAGACCATAGCCAACTGGAACTGTTTTCATCGCGTAAGCTTTGAACCCGCGTCGCATATCTGCTATTGCGGCCACCATAAAATTGTTGATACCCTTGATATCCTCGATTTCCGCTATGACCTCAGTATCAGTACATTTGAGATTCGGAAAGCAATGAAACACACCTTGACCAAATTGTTCAATTTTCGTGGCTTGCAACGCATTGCGTATCATCTTATCGCGAAGCTCATCATTCGGGGCACCATCTGTTTCCGCATCCACGTTCAGTAGAAGCGCCCGAAGCTTACTCTTTGCGGTTTCTTTCAACTTTCGGGCTGATTTCGTCGAGAGCTTTATGCGAGTCGAAATGGGCGGGTCCACAATTGACCCAGACCCCTCGGGCAAATCAGGTGCAGCGGCAGGATCAGCTGACAGTAGCTCTGGCGTGGGAGGAAGTCTCACATTACGTCGTCGTCTCCCGCTGTCGGAGACATGTTTTTGAGTCTGTATATCATAGGTAAACACTCAAAAACGAACACTCAAATATAACTTACTCGAATAACACCCTGGGTTCTCTCCCCACGGATGTTCTCTCCCAAGTGAAGGGGGGCCAGAGCGACAAGCCGCGCGGCCCCCCATGGGGCCAAAGACCCATTTCCGACCAAATCTGGTTGTGATGGCTGCCTTGACGATGGTTCGTGGAGGAGGGCAAATGCGCCAGCATATGCGTCGGCTAGTGCTCTATCCTCGTCCCGATGGTGCATGGGCAGGGGTTGCTGATGGTGCATGGGTGGGGTTGCTGATGGTGCATGGGCGGGGGTTGCTGATGGTGCATGAGTGGGTTTTGCTGATGGTGCATGGGCGGGTGCTGATGGTGCATGGGCGGGTGCTGCTGATGATGCATGGGCGGGGGTTGCTGATGGTGCATGACCAGGGGGTGCTGATGGTGCATGGCCGGGGGTTGCTGATGGTGCATGAGCGGAGCTTGGTGTTGAGGCTGGGAATATTGCGGCGGTGGGGGTTGATGGTAATGGGGCTCAAGTTGTGCATGATGCTGCTGTGAGATGGGCATCTGAATGCGATGTTCTGCGGGTGTCGTTGCGCGATCACCAGGTAAGGCGAGTTGATTGGCGACCGACTGGCCACTGGGATTAAGGTCCGAGTGAATCCCTGGCCGAAAACCCTTCTATAGATTGATCAGTAAGCATCGGCGACAGGATTGCAATTCCAACACGTACCCTTGCAGCGTTGGGCTTTCGCCTACCAGTAGATCTTGCTGATGGCGGAGGGGGGTCCATTGATGTCGTGGTGCTAGTCAAGTGTTGCTTACAGTTAGTTAGTCACAACTTGTCAGCGAGCGCAAACTTTATCATATCGTCGATCGATGAAATACAACTCCTACTATTCAATCCGATATAGTACAGTGTACAGATGGGAAATTTCATGAATAGAATGGTACCAAGAAAGGATTATCGATGGCTGCGTCTGACGGCACTTGTGAGCAATGATCAATCTGAGAAGGTAAGCTTGTGAGTTATTTGTATAATCTAGGGAGATAGAGCTTTCTACCTTCCAATTCGGCGTCAGAATAATCGGAATCGTCGGATCGTTCCCCATTGTCAGCCTCCTCCTCATCTTGCTCATACTCCGTGTCACTACTGTTTGGAAGCCTGTGAGAGACATATTTTGTTGCGAGTGGTGATACAGATGAAATTTGATAGAGCTGCTCATCAGCCGTAGCTAGGGAATCGAGCTCAGAATCGTGCGATTCCTCCAGGTATTCAGCATCCTGCTGTAGAGCCGGAAGATCTCGTCCCACTAAGAGCTTCTCGAAGAGGCGATAATCCGACTCTGCCATTTTCAGTCGCTTCTTCTCCTTCCGCTCAAATGCTTTGAGGAGTAGCTTGTTGTATTCTACCTCTTGGATCTCCCAACCGAGTTGCTTGACCTTGTGACGGTGGTTTTCTCGCGCAGCATGTTTGGCGTGTGCTGCCAACGTTATCGTGTCACTTGACAAAGACGAGAGACCACGCAAGAAAATATCCCGCCCCTGCAATAGTTGAATAAAAATCATCAGTTCCTGAAAACAAGGGCCTACTTACCTTTATGGCATCAGTAAGTTTGATGTCAGGGGTTCCTCGGATTCCCTTCAGGGCAAAGCGCAGCTCCAGTTGGGTACTAGGAGCACCACGATGCAGGTATGGGTGACTCCTGCTTGCAGGTCGCATTCCACGCCGGGAACTGCGAGTGCTGCCAATAAGTGAATTGGCATCAGAATGGGTTGAAACCGGAGAGGAGGTCTCTGAGCGCAGGGAGGGGGGCTCGAGGGACATGAGACCTGTGGTCAAAGTTATGACCTTCCCTTCAGTTATTTTGGAAGGGTCAGGAGTTTGGAGGGAGTCCACTCGAGTTCGACCACTGGAACCCGATGTTGTAGACGCAGACGATGAAAGAACGTTATTGAAAGAACCTGGAGTCATAGAAATATAATCTGTTATCTCTGCAGTGGTGAGTGTAGTACAGCAAAAATACAAGCTGGCGGAGTTTGAAGAACTTGGTGAATTTCCTCACTCCAAACGCACCGCAATGGGCTCGGAACTTGAGGGGTGCACTGCAACAGGTCTGGAAATACGCAATTGTCACAGGTGAGTTGTATCAAATGGTACAGCAGTAACTGACCAACTTTTTCAGTGGTCCAACATCTACAAAATGCCCGAATTGCGGACTCGAATTTGCATCAAATCTTGCTGTTGTAGATCATCTCAATGATCAGACGCATTCTTGTTGGAACAGAGAGTCCACTTACCTGCTTGCCAATCCCTCCAGCTTTCCAACGGGGAGACAACAACCGAGAAGAAGTCACTGGCCAGTACCATCCAAAGTCAGGCTACATTTTTGGACGGGGACGAAATATCTTGCAGGAAATGGAGGATCACGACTTAGATCAAAAGCGCCGCAGAGCAATAAATCCATCATACCCTTTTGTTGATCAGGCTGAATGGCAGCTAGCAGAGTTCCTCGTTTCAACGGCTGACACAAACCGATATTAACAAATTTCTGAAACTAGACTGGGTGAGTAGCATTATCTGTTTCTGCAGTTTTGACTGTACTAACTCTGAGCTTCGCACAAGTTCAAAAATAGACCCAGGCCATCCTTCAAGAGCGCAGATCAACTATTTGGCTGGATTGATGCGCTACCAAGCGGCCCAGAGTGGCAATCAACGACACTCGAGTTTACCAACTACACAACTGCAAGGCCAATCGAGCTAATCTGGTGTGACGGTCTCGAAGTCGTCAAAGATCTCTTTGCAAACCCGATCTTTTCCAATCATATGATGTATGATCCTCACATTGTTACCACTGGCTCAGAACGCGAATATGGCGAGTTTTTTACAGCTAACATGGCTTTCGATATTCAGGTAGGGCTCCTTAACAGCGGTAAAGTGGTATTGCTCAGTGTTCTATGCCAGAACAACCTTCCAGAAGGTGCCACTATGGTACCAATCATCCTCGCATCCGACAAGACGCCCGTAACCAGGATGTCGGGAGGATTAGAAATGCACCCGGTGTTCCTTATGATTGCCAATATTCAATCTGAAGTTCGTATGAAGGCCACCGCTCATGCATGGCGCTGTGTTGCATTTATCCCGATTCCGAAGTTTGATGTTCACGCGGATTTCCAAACACTCCTCCATGCTCGCCTGTTCCACAAGTGCATGGACATGATATTTGCCAAATGCAAGGTGGCTGCGAGGGTCGGTGAATACATGTTGGACTCCATGGGTTATATCCGGCATTGCTTCACTCCGCTCGTCGCATATACAGCTGATCTCCCTGAGGCACAGCTCATCGCTTGTGTCTCAAAAAATGCATCACCACTTACAATGGCAACCCAAAGCGACTTTGGTAGTGCTCAACTTTTCCCCCGTCGAACAGGCGACCATACGCTCAAGCTCATCTACGACCTATGCAAACGTGTTGATCCATGGAATGTACCACTCTTCCAACGCGAAGCTAAAGCATTGCTGCTTAGCGGCGTTCATCAGCCATATTGGAGAGATTGGCCGCATGCAGATCCAAGTCATTTTTTGCCCGGCGAACTGCTTCACACCTGTCACAAATATTTTGGTGACCATCCTTTAAAGTGGTGCAAGGAAGTTGTCGGGGAGGATGAACTTGATGCTCGCTACAAGGCTCATCATAAACGAGTCGGAACACGTCATTTTGGGTCTGGTGTCTCCCACATCAACCAGATGACGTGCCGGGAGCATCGTGACATTGAACGGACCATTGTCGCCACAGTCGCTGGTGCAGCAAACACAACCCCTGATTTCGTCCATGCCATTCGTTTCCTCACCGAATTCATTTACCAGGCACAGAGCCCCGTGCACACTGACTCGTCCATTGATGCTATGGTGCACTCCCTCCACATGTTTCATACGCTGAAGCAAGCGATACTCGATGCCGGTGCTCGGAGAGGGAAGAGTGGAACGATCGATAACTTCCTCATCCCCAAAATGGAGTTGTTTCACAGCTTTGCGGGGTCCATCAGAGATCTCGGAGGTTTGATACAGTACTCAGCGGATGTTAGTGAGCGACTCCTGATCACACACTGCAAATTTCCATTCGAAAGGACTAGTCGGCAAGCCAGGAATTTTACCTTACAGGTCGTCCAAATTCTCAATCGTGACGAAACCATGCGACACTTCAATCTTTATACCCTTTTGCATTCGCATGGTACACCGCTCGTGAATGCCATCGCAATCGAAGACAATATCGTCACGGAGACAGATCCTACTTTGGCCTGGATAGCGCGTGTGCTTCCCGGCGAGCAGAATCGCTTCCATGGCCCGCGACCTGTCCGCAACCATTTTTTGAAGGGAATACTTTCTGTTGAAGCTAATGCCGCATTTCATGTCACCATCTCTCCCGATCGAAAGTCACTTTCTATCACTGATCTGCAATCTATCTACTCTCTCCCAAATTTCGGCGCAGTGCTCATGGAATATATCAATGACTCGTCCCAAAACACCCCAACAACAGCCTGGACGTGTGCGCGAGATTCAGTCAGGACATGGAACAAGTTTCGTTTACAGCTACACTCTACCTTCCAGTCGCGAGTTGTGATGCCGAGTCAAATCATCCAAGCGTTTCCACCATCAGAGACCTTCCCTATGGGCAATTGCGATGCAGTTCTCGTGCAATTGCCTGGCAATGATGGTAAGTATTTAACTGCTGGCGTCATCCATGTGCTTACAAGCCTGTGCAGATACATACATTGCGCAAGTGCGTTGTGTTTTTCAAGCTATTGCCAGGAAAGGTCAAACCCTGCCCCACTATCTTAAAGACTCGCCCCTTCTATACGTTCAGTACTTTCAGATCACAGCAACACCTACTGAGGATGCAAGCGCTGGCATGTACCGAGTGAAACGCATCTACCATCAGGATGGAACAGGTCGGATCTTTCGACCTGGCAGCATCATTCCGCTGACAGCCGTTACCTGTGCTGTTGAGCTGATCCCTATGTATGGTTCGAAGATGAATCGCATGATAAATGCTACGAATGCAATGGAGATCTGTGATGAATACTACTTGAATACATTTTCGGACAAGGAAGTTTTCAATACAATGCACAGTGGTTTGATGTAGATTTGCATTTGCCTACAATACAATTGATTATCTGCGTTCTAATCGTGTTGATAAGTAAGATAGCACAATCTAGCCTGATCGCATTCATTTCCGTAGAACATAATCATCGTCTGAGCTCTCCACCAATCAGACGAGTGCGCTACTGAAGTCGTAAGCATTCGTAAGTGTTCGTAACGCGCTTAAGCTAAGCGTTCATTTCAGCGGTTTTACTGATGTATGCTCATGTGTTTCTGTGTTAGCCGAGGCACGAGGCTAACACAGAATCGAGTCTACACATGAGTAAGCGAAGTGGCGTAACTCTCCTTTGTTCCGACCCACCATCAGTCAACTCTAAGTCTATCGTTATTAGTTCCTCGTATTGTCTACTCTAGACCTCTGTCGTTCTTTGCGCCCTCCCACCGCTCCCTCTCTCAGAAGACAAAAGTCTAACTCTTGTTGTTTCGTTAAACCTTTTGTCCGTTGTACTGCGTTCACTTCCTAAAAGTTTCAAGGCTCACTTGTAGCTAGCTGATCGGTGCCCACCCGCCCATCTCAGCTCACCTTGAAACCCTTAGGTTCGTGCGCTTGCAGCGGGCCGAGAAGCCCTTCGGGCTTTTGCCCAAAACATCACTCCTTCGTTTAGATTAGCTCGCATGGAAGTTTCCTGTATCTAAGCAACTTCGAATTCACCTTTCGCCTGCTACAAACACACAGCGTCGAAAGGCATAGACATAAGCTCAGGTAACTGGAAAGCAAACACGTGACCAGATACAATTAAAACTCAGCTCAGGCCAGCCCGCCGAAGGCCCCAGACTCTGGCAATATTCACTTAGCTCATTCACCGTTACACATTTTCTCTCGCAAGTTTCCATTGATTATTTTATGTAAAATTTCAGCGCTCGGACTTCTGCTCTTCCTGTGCGTATCCATCATGTACCTGCCTTGACTTTGTACTCATCACGAGACGGCCCGCTACAGTTGCAATCTCGTTTGGACCCCTTCATTGTCATTGCGTTCTTCGCATCCCTTGTGTGAATTTGCACAGACTGAGACACCCAATCGATGATACGCCTGATATTTAAACTTGATATTTCTCGTACACTTGTTCTGCATACAAGCCCGATTTTACATAGCAGTTTCCCTGTGTACAATGCGCCGCGAGTCAACACGATGGGATTTTGTGTGGAACAAGTGTTACTGACTGTTTGGGCCATCACAGACCTTGCACCAATTCACTACTGAATAGCATTAGATCCCATTGACCCGGGCCACGTACGCATTCACAGCTAGCTCCTTCGGCTGACCGCTGAACAGTTTCGTCTCTATTGTGCCAGCATGCTATCCAAGACGCGGTTTGACCCTGGCCGCTTCTGTGGAGTATAAAAAGACAGTATCAACAATCCAGTTACCACCAATCTCCCAAAGCTAAGCGAAATCAACTCATCATCATGTCTATCCGCATCTCTACTGCTTTTGTTATGCTCCTCGGCCTGACGGCCCTTGTCAGCGCAGCAATGCCCGTAAGCCCTGTTTTGTTTGGCACCGAATGTGTCGCACTCACCGTGTGATGTATGCAGGACAAGGTCAAGAGAGAGGTAAGCCTTGCTTCACGCCGAACGTTTCATACTTACCATATAATACATGCAGGAAACTCAGATATCCTCCAAGCTTGAGGCCACGCCCCCTTAAGCCTTGTTGTAGGCAGAGAATCCCAAATGGTTGGTAACACTTTTTCACATCAAATCTCATCGTGTTGACTCGTAGCGCATCGTATACAGTGCGACTGCTATGTGAAATCGGGCCTGTATGCAGAACAAGTTTATAAGAAATGTCGAATAGGATACAAGTAGCGCTTACAAAGATATAAGGCAAATGTAAATACCAGGTGTATGATCGATTGTGTGTTTGAGTCTGCGCGTCTGTCAATCAAACTTGCGTGAATCCTCGAAGTCCAACAGGGACAAGTACTTGCATGCATAAAACCAAGTGCTCAAATATTTGCTGGCGAATGTGCAAGATATGGCCGGTCCCAGATGATGCTGGCGCCTGATCCAGTAGCTAATTTAAAACTATCTGGGCTGAATGCGACAATGCACACATAACCGCTATGAGGAAGTATGGTGAGGACAACGCAAGTATCTGCGTCCTATAAAACAACTGTTTCAGCATCTGACCAGCTGGCGAATCCCCGTCCATCGGGGCAGAGGTACGCCGAGTTTACGGCGGATGGATGCCACACCAGTGGGTTGGGCGCGTACTTCCTCTCGACGTTCTAGAGGATGGAATCAGATATTCTTATCCCAATCCGCTGCTGACGAGATCGTTATGAGGGAGCAAGGAATTTTTAGTGACCTATATAAATGGCCGTTGTCGCTCAGAATCTATAAGGACTTGGCAGTACATACTCGTGCGTTATGGTACACACATCGTACGGTCCGGAGGCTAATTTTAGCATGGACGCATCATTGGGGCACTTCTGCACCAAATAAGGAGTACTGTGGGATGCCGACGAGGACCTGGATGCAGCAAATGCAAGCAGGATCTGCGAAGGGCGGAGGACAATGTCAACTGCAAACATTCCAAGATTGCGCATCCATGAACCGGCCACAGACTTACACACGACACCGATCGCTCTTGCTCAACACGATCGGACCTGATAGCAAATATATGTGACGATTGTCCAATGTATTGAACTTTGGAATAACTCCAATAAAGTGCATTGAATCTATAAACTGTACGATTACATGATAGCACACCTGTGGTCTTCTTTATCCTCTGCGATCGTCTCCTAACGGATCCTAGTAACGCTGGCTAGCGAGGTATGCTCCAAGATTGGTGACTAACAGGCCTGCGTCTTGAGCTGTCTGAGGATGAATGTATGTAACGACGAGGATAGCTTGTTTCGTTTGCGCTAGTACAGCACCATCGGCCTGATGGCTGTGAGCATGCATCATAGAAACATATCGTGGAGACCCACCTGTTTCTTGCCCTGAACCACAATAAGATCCGGATCATCTCCGTAGGTATCCGACGATAAGAAGAAGTATTTCTGATTAGCGATACGGAAGCCAGACGCCTGAACTGCAGCTTTGTTCGTGAACGCAGCAGTGATCGCCTTCTGCTCTTCTGGGGTGATCTATGCAAGATCGCGTCAGAGCTGCACGGACATGACTACTTTCAATATAAGTTACCGTGATGTCTGAGGATTTAGCCCATACACCTCCAGCTTTTCCCAAGATCGCGGCCTGAGTTACTTTCTTGGTGCCGACGAGGTTGTTGTCTACGTATGCTGTGGATGCATGAGACCAAGAGCTTGTTTGGCGATGCAGCTCAGACTTACCTTGCCAGGACATATTATGAGGAACTGAAATCGAGACAACGGAAAAGGTCGCGAATTGAAACTGGGAGACACTGAGAAAGAGTCTGACGCAGTACGGAGATCGCCATGATATCGGCGTTGGAAAGCAGACCGCATCAAAGTCCAGTCGGAACTTACCTAATAAGCAAGTGGACCACCGGGCCAACCCGCCACGTGGCACGGACGACTTAGCATTAGTAATCAAGCGAAGCTGGTAGTCATTCAAGCACGACGAGAGCAAGAATAGAGACATACATTGTACTAGTGAATGGAACGCGGACTCGAGAGTCAGAGTCCAGACGTAGGTTTAATTCTAGAAAGCATAAACTGGAAACCCACAAGGAATAACACGAGTACTACAGTACAACCAGGACCATAGCATATCAAGGGTTTATAACTACCTATATACCCTACTAGATGTAAACCATTTCAAACGGACATCTACATCACACTGGGGCTCCCTTTTTTTCCATTTTATTGTCCTTTGGGGTCGTAGACCCTATGTTGGACATAGCCCTATACGTGGGGGGCTTACTCCCGCTTATATATCGTAACCGGGGCTCCCTTGTGATTAGTCTGTCTGCACCGTTAGCCATGACCGGCCATTCAGATTCGTACTCTCCTGCCTTCTCGCAAAACTTGGTCAATCTGCGATATCCGGCAGGATTCTTTGACATATCTTATTGCGACTTGGACTTGTCCTGGAATGTGAGTTCTCCGGTATCAAGCCAACAACGGGAGATAGTAGCCTCAACCACATGCTTGTACATGTTGAACACTTCGTCTACGAGATTCAACATCAATGATATCGGGCACGTGAATCAAGTGAGCAGGCATGCCGCCGAACACAAATTCACGATGCCTTTAATGGCTGTGACATTTGTTGAAGGCGACTGGGGAATGAGAATGAGTTCAGTCAATTGGGCCTGATCATTCGATTAACATACCCAAGATCAGGCACTTTGAATTATGGATTCAGATCCCTCTGGTTGAACGTACTCCCTTCCCGAACAGGTTCGTCTACAAGACGCTTCTGAAGGTTGCAAGACCAGTGAGAGGTAAGATGTCGACAAAATGACGCGGCTCGCTATGACATGTGAAACAGGAAGGGGAGACTAGATGAAGGGCTGATTGCTCTCCTTCATCTTTCGGGGATTAAGGATCGATAGTGAGCAAGAATGGACCACAGCCACTGAAGTCGAGACTTGCACCTGGCCTTTATCAACTCTATCACGCCAACTTAGCACTGATAGTCACCAAATACGGCTAGGATTGAATAAGCGCTACGTGTCCATGGCTGGGACGGCAACAATAAGCAGAAAACCGCTGGTGTTGTGGTCAAAGTGAAAGCAATGAAAAATCCGAAACGAATGAACTCGGGAAAATCCATTCCCTGGAGGAACATTGACAGCGGTAGCGCATTCATTTCTGCGCTTTAAGCCCCGTGTGTAAAATATCTGAAGAACTGGAGATTAGACCACTGCCTCAGGGGATTTCGGCCGATTCCAGACGCTCGCCATTGACCATGTTAGCGAGTGAAGATATGAAAAGGACGATGTCAATGAACTCGAGGGGTGTCTTTGGAAAGAAAGAATTGGCCCCACTCAACTCGACCGAGGTAAGTCTCCCGGTCTGCAACTTCTTCAGAATGCAGAACTAAGCAGCAGACATTGGAAAGCGGTGGGATCTCGCCAAGACAATCCACATTATCCCACCAGGCAATTGAATGACGAGAGGATATACAGCGCCTCACCGTGCAATGTGTTCTCTGGATGTCGGACTAATTGGCAGACAGTGGAAAACAACAGTTTCGCCCAGACAGTGCAGGCAACTGGACGACGAGAGGGTACGCAGCGCCTCACTCTGCGATAAATTGTTTTACAGCATGTCATACGACGCAAGCGCTGAGTGCACATGTTCCGCAATGCGGGATATAGTCAAAAGTGCATAAAAGTGTCCATTACAAGGCTATCACTTGGTGAAAGACCGGATTATTTTGGCGGAAATATGCAAAAAGAAGATGGATCCAATAAACGCCAACGAGAGTATGAGGACGACATATGGGTCTCTAACATGGGAATAAAATCAGCTTGGTTGAATGTTACGTTTATAGCAACATGACACGTACACTCGCAGCCCTGGTGAGTCGTCAGTGTAAAGTTTCAGCATTGTCCCCGAAGAGCCGCCAGCTCCTGCTGCACGCGTTGAATTCGGTTTTACCTGCGTGTTTGCTGCCCTCCGCCTTTGACAAGTTTCAGTCAGAAATGTGTGCAAACCACAAACAGACTATGAGACATACCGAACCTGCGCACCTGGCGGTCTTGCAACGGTACCGACCTTGGGGCTAACAGCGTGGGTTGAGCTTTCTGAATCAGACTAAGTGATTAACAGGTGAGTATCGAAATAATACAGCTAGGTTGCTCGTTACGCACCATGCTGTTGACGGTGAGTTTCGAAGACTGGAGACACGTTGGTGGAGGAAATGGAAGTGTAAGTTCGTGGGAATATTCTTTAGGTCCTTCCTAATCCACCACTACTTCCGCTCCAGCGTCATTTGAGCGTCACTGACTTTTGTCCTATCTTCCTTCGTGCCCTGGCTGGTTTCTAACATGTCACTGGTAAGTTCTAATCCTATGAGTATATGTAATGCATGTAGACAGGACTATTACTCTAGATAAATGCCATCGTTTCCCGAGGACCCACGATCCTTGCTGAACACCAAGCTCCGGGCCAGCGAGACTTCTCACATGGTGCATTGTTTCCTGTCTCATCATGCGCTTCTTAACATAGTGGCATACATAGCTACACAGACAATTCTATCCAAGATCCCGCCGAACAACAGCAAGTTAACATATGTGTGGGAACAATACCTCTTTCATTACATCTCCGAGGGCGGCTTCACTTTTCTGGTCATGGCAGATGACTCTGTAGGAAGGTGAGATTTCTGAAGGGCGTTCATCTGCTTTTTTGGTTAAATATCACCGTAGGAAGATGCCATTCGCTTTTCTAGCGGACCTGCAGCGCAAAGTATGTTGTCACAGTACAATTTACCCCCTTGTTCTGATTCACATCGCAAGTTTACCGAGCTCCCATCCTCCTCGTCTGCTGTACTAAGCTCTACCCCCGCATACGGACTTCAAGGCACCTTCTCTCCCACTATCGCCTCTCTCATGCACACGTACAACACTGCTCCTCCAACGGACGAAGTCGCCCGTGCTCAAGCGGAGCTGAACCAAGTCAAAGATATTATGGTCCAAAATGTCGAGCAGATCCTCAGCCGAGGGGAGCGTATCGAGCTTCTCATAGATAAGACTGACAACATGGCCACGCAGGCCACCGCATTCCGGCGCGGTGCCAGGACAGTGAGGCGGCAGATGTGGTGGAAGAATAGCAAGATATTGGCATTGAGCGTCTTGGTTGCGCTACTATTATTATATATCATTGTTGCTCAGTTCTGTGGGGCTAGCCTGCGGTGTGGCGCACAGTCTTGAGTATCTCCATGGTCCGGATTGCTTATTTATTTGTACCACATAATATCCATATGTACTCCCTAGATTTATCGACACTCATATTGGCCTCAGACAATGTTTGTTATATTTAGGCACTTCAGACCCGACATATGTAACACCTTGACAATATCTCTGGCAAAGGTTGCTTGCCCGCAAATTTTTACACGTCCAGAGACGATGGAGATAAGTGAATCAGTACTAGATATAGTGAGTGGGGATCGAAACATCCAAGACGTTTTTATTTTTCTTCAGGAAGAAACTAAATAAACGTCCGTAAAGAATCTACTATGTAACTGCATATGCATGCACAATAAGTAAAATACAAGTTTGGCATAACTCGGGACACCAACAATGACAATACAGCATGTACGCCTCGGTCAGAACAACACCACAAAACCATTATAAACACAATATTGGCTACACACTGTTGACAGGAGAGTCCATTCGGACTCCCTCATATAAATAGTAGTCCCATCGACAGCAATGGGAAATCAAAAAATCTGAAGTGACAGTTGGTTAATAAATCGAGGAAGTCATAAGATTCATCAATCTGCTCCGGCGGTGACCGGGTTAGACAACTTTGTCCTGCCTGTACGTCGTTCGCGATAGTAGGGGTAAACATCGGGTGGCACATTCGTAGAATCCTTGAGGTGCTGCCACTCTGGTTCCCGTTCCCGCTCGCGATCACGTTCCCGACCGCGTTCACGCTCCATTCGTTCGCGTTCCTGCTCTCGTTGTCTTTCCCTCTCCCGCCTCTCCTGCCTCTCCTTCTCCTGTTGCATCGCAACACTACTAGCATGGACCAGCGTCTTTGACATGACTGTAGCCGGGAATCCCTCTTCAAGACCAGGCGTAGGAGTCACAGATTGACTTGCAGTGGAGTTTCTCCGCAACGGTGTATGCACACGCGTACTAGAATTCGTCTGCCTAGGGATCGTATTGGACGATGGCGGTGCTGGATATGGTGGGGGGAACGACGACTCATCGCCATAAGACATCGGGATCTTGAGGGAGGATGATGGCACAGGGCTGTCAAGGATATCATGGAGCTGAGCGCGCAGGCGTTCGCGATCCTTGTCTCGAAAGTCATCGACCGCCGTGATCTGGCGCGGTGCGACCTGGTCTTTCACCTTGGGCTCGTACATGTCTCCTGCGCGCATCTCGTAATCTCTGCTAGCACCATCATATGAATCTCGTGAATGAGTGTCTTTCAACCGAGGTCCATACAAGCGGTCCGAGGAGTAGCGGCGTGAAGGGGAGGAAGTGCGACTAGATATATATAACGTGGATGGGTCCCGTGATACTCTGCGAGACGGTGAATGAGTACCGCTATGTGCTAAAGCGATTGAACGCTCAGTGGAGTGATGACGTGAAGAAGATCCATCACGACTCGACATGACAATGTCATCGCGAGGGCGAGATCGGGACAATCCAGACCAGTTATCCGGATTGGTCGTAGAGGCAGACGAAGAGACGGAAGCATCGGCCAACTGACGAGACAACGAGGACCGAGGAATGGGAACAAGCTGAGACGTGGAGTCACCCATCGTTTGATCCTCGTCTGCATCAGGCCTTAATTCCAATTCCTTTTTGCCGCAGGTCTTCTTTAAGTGGTCCATCTCATCTTCGTCCACCAGAGCGCGGAACGACTGGATTGCAGAAGGCCAAGTTCCGATTACCTGGGCGAGAGGAGACAAGTGGAACTCCTCTTCCTCGATGGCTTTCGCTTTTGCTTTGGCCTTCGCTCTTGCTTTGATGCTCAAAGGATCGTCCTCGATCGACTTCTCAGGATGCTTCGGCTCTGGCATTGCATGAAGATACCGGACCTCGACTGGCCGTTGGAAGTCAGGTAACGGGTTAAATGCAATTCTAGCGCGCATGAGCTCTTCCCGGAGAACTGTGTTCTCACGCATTGTAGCTTGCACCTGTGGCTGTAAGTAAAACATTACTCGCAGGAAACTACAAAATACTGACTTTGCTAAATGATACTGATAAGTCCATAAAATAAATGGACCAGAATACGACAGGCTCACCTGCTCCAATACGAATTCGATTCATCATAGTGTTCCCTCAAACTTTTCTCGACAGCAAGAGCAGTATCTTTCTCATCCTGTCGAATACGTTGCAGCTCCTCGTACTTCACTTGCAAATTCACGATCTCTGCTGTAAGGCGCGAGCGTAATTCCTCAAGAGCAATTTTTGCCTCGCAGGTCCTCTCAACTTCAGCCACCTTCTCCCGTCTCATTTCCTCAAGAGCAATTTCCACCACCCGGTTTTTCTCAATCTCAACCGCCTTGTCTTTTCTCATTTCCGCGAGATGCCGTTGAGACTCGGCGAGGTTCCAAAGAAGCAGCGCGCTCACTTTCACAGGGTTCTGCTGATCACAAAAAAAAAAGAAAATTTAACAGGGACGTCTTAACATGACGGCATCATGAACGTACCTGGTCAGCTGACTGTGACTTGTAGTACGTTCGACATTTCTCGATTACCCGGCGGAGTTCAGGAAGCTTGGCACCTTCTCTGACGACACGGGCGATATCTTCCTGAAGGATGCGGGCTTCGTTGTCAGGAGGTGGAGAAGAAGATTCAGGGTTTTCAGGGACTTCTTCTATGGAGGCGGTCGTAATCATAGGCGACTGCATATCAATGTGAAGCTTGCGGACATCCTGAGGGGAAAATCGAGTCCGACAAAGGGGACATATGTGGCGCAAAAGATGATCGAGACACCTTCGGATGGGCGAGTTAGATGAAAACAATACACGATCGATGAAACGAGTACTTACTTTTGGCAGAATACGTGCCCACAAGAGATCGAGTGCGGTGAATTGCCGCCATTCATATAGCCTTCCATACAGACATCACAGGTCGAGGATTTGTTGAGTACCAACATGGTTGAAAGACGATGAAGAGATTTCCTTGAGGATCGGGAAAGGAGCGAATTAAGCTTATGGCAGCTTGATCGCCTACTCTAGCAAGGAGGTATCGCAGGAAGGAAGGAAAGAAGGGACTTGTTAAGGACCCACTCGGGTATATGGGGGAAGGAAGGGATTTAAGCCAGCAAAGGCTTAAAGGCCAGACCTAACGTGCGTGGCGGGGTGGGTGGTGTAATGTTGTGCAGGGGAGGAGCGAACATTCATAACGTTGAAGAGATTATAAGAAGACACGAGGCAACTAAGCGACGTGAGATAGAACTTCGCTACTTCCTTGAGGGTCCTAGACAAACCTAAGTGAAATGATCACATACTAAGTTGGCACGATCAATCACCTGGATGGAGCTTCCGATCTGAGTTCCAACACCACGATAAGAACTGCATGACCCGAGTCTTACCTTTAATGAAGCTTAGCAGGGAACGCTGAAGGGAATCAGTGCCACTCGCCGGGATCGAGAGTTTGTACCGAATTAGTTTCCGGCAGAACTACGCGTGGATAAAGCAGTGAACAACCCCTCCTTTACCGCACGTTCAATTTCGGCTGCCTGGCATGGAGAAGGGGTGCCTATGAACAATCATTTGGTTCGGCAGCACTGATCTCATAGAACCGGCCCGACACGGATAAGTTGACGATCCTCGTGGGTTCGGCGTTGCATAATAATAAGTTCGCTGGCTGAACGTTTCGTCAAGTGCCGCAAAGAACGTACAGCTCGACGTATTTTGTCCGAGTTGTTGCGTTATATGCGTGCCTTCCAGGTGATATGTAGCACTGAACAAAAAAATTACCCTTGCCCGTCGGTAATGGGCCGAGCGTCGCTGACTCAGCACGCGGTGTCAACGTGTTGAAGTATGTCATAGCACTACATAGTACAGCAATACCGAAATTAAACTTGATTCTAAAACATATCTTACAAGGCTAGTTCTGACCTTGGACACTCTCGTTCTTCTGGATTGCCGCTACATTCCTTCTGGATTGCCGCTATGTTCCTTCTGGAATACCGGTACGTTCCATCTGGATTACCATTCATAACTGGGAGTCACCGATGGATGGCTGGGACATATCACATCCGGTAATCTCAAATCATTCTGGAGTGTAAGTTTCTGTCATTTATTCGGTGGTGTTGCTCGAGGTTAAAAGTGATGTACTGAGGTGCTCGACGGCGACATGGTGTTACGATGTCGAAGCGACATGGGCGTCTGCCACATTGTCAAAGGGCGCTCCGAGTTGATTCTGAACACGTATTTATACTATCCACAGGTTTCCTGTCAAAGATATACTGGATTTAGATCTTCTTTACCTTAAGGCAGCTCTATCTTCCATTCTGAGAGGTCATCCAGTGGAGAACGATACCTCGCTGACGCGCACCAATGCCCTTGACATCAACCGTGATGCATTGCCCCCTACACTAATCTCTGGAGATCCCCTTTGATTCTGAAACGAACCGTTACCTTGGGTTGTCACCTCAAAAATGCCCGCATCCTTCGCCTTCGTCACCTTGGCCATGTCATCGGTCCCAATTTGTCCTATGGGTATGTTTTTCTCCGGTGTGTCCTTCATTTGGGCATTTAATCTATCGGCATCGGCTCCTTGTGCTGCGCGGGATGCTCTTTGTCCACCATTCTAAGCAGACAGGCCAACATTCTATCTTGTTTTCACTCTCCGTCTCCGCAGTCAAGTCATGACCTTAGAGAATTATTTCCGAAGTAGTACGGCTTGCGCGGTTCGGCCCCACGTTCATACTTCTCCTCCTAAGTACGTGCCAAAGTTCCGGACTATCTGCAACCCCTGACTTCGTTCTCAAGATGGTAAGAATACTTTGGAGTCAAAAACACACCCCCATGCCATCATACTTCGGAAGTATATCGATCTGCGCTATCGATAGGCACATCCCATCGCAGTTATTTGGGTCCAATCATCCGTTTTTTCCTGTGCTTTATCTCCTTGGTATGGCTTTGCATTCTCAGCTTATTTCAAGCCCTTTGTTTATTCTCGACTTGGATCAGCCCCAGATCACTAATAGTACTCCACGTCCGACTCCAGACCTTTTCAAGCACCCGAGTCGGGCGCACTGCGATGTCCTCGGAGCACGGCACGGATGATATTCAACACCGATGGATGTAGATGGCGAGTCAGTTGCACCGACTAGATACCTCTGGAGTCTGGACGCAGATGGTTGCACTGCTGTTCCGATATAGCATGTTTTAATATCAAGATACAGCCCCCAGATAGGGAACAATCATAAGTTGCTATCTCATTATTAATATTAATGTTAATGATTGGGGAAGTTTCCGTGATTCGGACCAACGTACGTACAGAATGACCAGCGTCTGAATATTAGCACACACGTGTACTAAAGTGCCTCGTGCCTCTGCTTGTTGAACCATCTCCGCTGTTTATCAGAGATCCGCGCCACCGAACGCAAAACTTAGTACTAGCTACTAGTACCAGCGCTATATAAAATCAGAAAACTCGCAACTCCGAATTCCATCATCACTGCTTCTGATGAAATCAACGGCAACAACGTAGATAACAACAACCTTGCAACGTACACGTACGCTATATGTCATGCAATGTCAGCGTGGGGAAAATAAGCTTGGCGCACGCATCATGATGGCTATCAGCCTGCGCTACGCTCATCCCACATCTTTGGCCACGCACATCACACGCGTAGGAAGCCTTGCGCTTTTACTTGATCCGCAGCATAAAGTACTGAAGACTACATATTAGAAGGGAATAGAAGGGGCGCTATCTCAGCGATTAATATTAATTGTATCGAGTCGATGGAAGTTTCCATATGTGCAGGCACATCAGCTGGGCGTAATCTAGAGTCTATGTCAGGGGTGCCGGTGATCAGCGCCCTTGCAACTGCACTGATGCACGCTTCGCGAGAGCCTCGTGCCCACCAGAATATTAAGCGACCATTGTTTTGGCCATCGCCGCTGCAGCACGCTGCTTGTCGTGTGTCCATCACTTGATCCACCCCACAGCTAGCGCAAAACCAACACAAAAGAGCTTGTTGTCTCATGTCATAATCTCGAACCCCAGTATCATAGCACCGATCCCATCAAAGCCGAATTCGACCCGCTCATCATCTAAAGAAATGCAGATTGCGGTACTTGAATGTCAGTTACGATAGATCACGACGTACACCAAATGACAGAAACATTTAATAATACAAACGATACGAGAAAAGGAGATAGATGGCAAACAACAAACGCATGACAGGTAACAACAACCTAGCGTCTCTCTTATGTAAAATGAGTGCGGTGAGAACAAAAACTCGGCGACGAAAAACAAACGGGGAAAAGAAGGATAATCCAGATTCCAGATAAAAAGAACCATACGTATACTAATCAGAAGCACCAGTCATGTGCGATTAGCCCACATATGCACGATACTAGGCCCACCAACGACCGGGGTAGGAGCAACGATCTGTGGGCCGTTCCCTGTATTTGAAAAAGGACCATGCCCCCCACTTGTGACAGAACCATGTCCGGTGTTTGTAGACGGACCATGCCCGGTACTTGTAAAAGAACCACTCCCAGCGCCTGTGAAAGGACGCACGGCATGATCGTGCACTGAAAGCGAAGCATCAAAATGGAGCGATAGCGCGTTGGTATTCGTATATGAAGAACTGCCACTGGGAACGCGCGGTGTCGTCCCTTCTTCGTATCCCCTCGGTTGTGAGGTATGTCGACGATGATAAGCGCGCTGGGTGCGAGAGGATTGGGTATAAGAGAGGCCATTTGGAGTGTGTGAGGTGTGATATGAGGTAGGACTGGGTGGAAAAGAAGTCCGACTCGCAGCATACGAAGACTGCGCACGATACCTCCACTCCTCATCACGCACTGCATAATCCGCATCCCCTCCATCTTCAAGAATAAGACCCAATGCATCCGGTCCAGCGGTAGACATTGGTATGACGGGCGCCACGCTGATATCTTCTCCTTCTTCATTTGTGTTATCTTCGTCTGATTCTAGGCGACCTAGTATAGACTCGCCGGCAACGCTCCCCTGCCCACGCACGCCCCCGTTGTGCAGCCCCAGGAGGCCTAGGTGATCCATGCTGCCTTCCCGTGAGGTGGACATGGTTCCCCACGTAGTGACGCTTCCTGGGCTGTCTGTGTCCAGTGTTGTATCTAGGGAAGGGATAAGTGGTCGGGGTCTGGGCATGCGGATTTGCGTGCCGGTGGGACGGAACGGTGCACTGTCGTTGAGACGGGCAGAACCAGCTGCGCTGTCATTCAAACGTGCAGATCCTGCTGCTACATTTCCATTCGACGTCAATGACCCAACATCGAAACCAAGAACCTGGCCAACACTTTGCACCGCCGCTCGACGTCCCACACCAATATCAGGCGGTGGCGTACCAAGCAAAGGCACATCCGAAAGACCTCTGGAAGTATTCTTCGCTCGGGCCGCCTGACCAACGTTTTGCACCGTCGCTCGACGTCGCATACCATTCTCAGGTGATGGCGATCCAAGCGAAGGTACGTTTGGATAACCCGTAGAAATATTATCCACTCGAGCTGTGTCAGTTACAGCCCGTCTGGGAACGGGTCGCGCTCGAGGCACAGGCGTCGTATGATCTTCTCCAGACGAGCCGGCTAAGCCCAGAATATCTGTGACTGGTTCTGGTGATTGCATCTCTAACAACGGAAAGGCCCTTTCGTTGCCACCAGCCGACGACATGTACGGAGCATTCATCAGCTGGTACCCTGATTCGTATCCTGAGCCATAGCCTGAGACGTAAGCTGCGGCAGAGGCTAGCCGCGTGGACAGATCATTCGTTACGTCTGTGCTGATACTAATACTGCTCTTCTCTTTGCGTCTTAGCTCTCTCTCGTCGTCAGATCGCCGATCCTCAACGACGAGGGGACGTGCTGCCCAGGTAGGAGAAGAATTGACACGGACAGTGCTTGGAGGGATGTGCGCTCCGCGGGTCGAGATGTTTATTTTTGACTGAGACTCAGGTGCGCGGCTGTGTATGGATGATACACGGGGCCGTCGCGTGTCGTCTGTCCAGTGTTCTTCTACCCGAGGAGCCTCGGGAGGTCTGATATTGGATATGGGTGGGGGCTTAGGGGGATGAAAAATTGGCTTGTGGGATGACCTCGCCCCCTTAGATCCTGAGGCGTGGGCTTCGCCATTAACTTGAGTGGCGTTATCCCGCGGGGGTGGTGCGGGGTATGGAACGGCGCCGCCTAAGAGAGTATCGAGACCCCCACCGGGCCTTGCAAAGGTTGGGAACCGATCGATCGGCAAGGGCTCAGGAGGCGGGGGGAGGGGGTTGCTGGTGTTGCGATATCGGGGTTGCGGGTTTCTAAGGTTTTCTAGCTCAGCATGTAATTGGGACAGCTATAAGGACACGAGGTAAGTCCAATGTAGATGCCGCTGAACCAAATGATCACCTCTCTATATAGAGAAGTCGTTTAGAAAATATTCGTTACCTTACTACTGATGACTCACAGAGCATGTTCATTCTCAATTTCTTGAATCCTGGAAAGCAGACTTTCTTCCACTGCACGAGATGTTTTGGAGTCGTGGTCTGCATTTCGCTTGTTGTTCCGAAGTTGGCTTCGGAGGCGACGATATTCTGCTTTTTCACGCTCGCTCTGATCTTGAAGAGCTTTGTATCGCTGAAGGGAAGACACGGCAGCCCGAAGAGCCATATGCTAAAAATGTCGCATGTGAGAAAATGGAAAGAAATTGTATTTGCAACGAGGACCGCCATACGTCGCCTTTGCAGTGACGGAAAAGACTCACAGAACTGGGATCGTCTGGTTGAGACTGCAGCCATTCCTGTACTTCGGTGACCACTTCGACGACATCTGGCTCAGGCGTCTCTTCACCTGAGACGAGAGCTATGCGCTGGAGGAGGAGACTGGCATGAGCATCGATAGCGTCCTGTGCAGCATTATCTAGTTCGGGTGGATTCGCAAGGTGGAGTTTCTTGATACGATCTGCCTGGAAAGGTTTGCGGCAAAGTGGACATGCACTTGGTAATAAAGAGCGAAGGCACCTGGGATTGAAGAGTCGGATATGAGAGGAGAGACATTATTGGTGGCCGCAAGCTGGCCGGGAGTATGAACGCACGTGAGACAGAAAATGTGACCGCAAGCGATTGCATGTGGAGAATTAGCGGGGTCTGAAGAGATAGAGTAGAGATCGAGGCAGACATCACACCAACTTGCAGGATGGACAACAAGCATACCTAGTTCATAACAAAAGTTGTCTACCACATGTCTAGGTGTCAACGTGCAATAACAGTGCTATGATGACTCAGCGAGTAGCTTAAATTAAAGCGCTGAATCATCATATACATAAGCGGTGCTAACCGGGGCCCCTGTCATACCGTTCTGAGTACAATTCTGTAAGACTCCATTATATAAGTACCTGCGAGAGGGACTACGGTAAACATTATAGTAATGGTCGAGTATGAGTGCGAGTATCTCACGTGGAACGATGAGGGATGGGAGACTATTATAATACCTGTCTGCGTCAGCGATGATGTAAAATACGAGACCGTTATTGTACGTGTGCGCAGCAAGGGAATGTGAAATAAGAGTAATAGCGAGACTTGCATGTTACGTCCAAATATCCAACACTAAGATCTTCTTCCACCCACTTGATCTGCCCAAGCGTCCTTGGCTGCGTCGTTGTTAAAGGTCCATATCGTCTCGAGTGCTTCTGCGGCTAGCGCGTCATTTGTGACACCTTTGGCTATCAGACGAGCCCTAGCAGCTCTGTATTCGACGGTCGTGAAATCTGGCAAGACTGCATCGTTGGGATTATCTAGCATAGAAACAAGTACTGAATTAATGAGCAGATTCAGGAGAGCTAGGGTTGGTGTCGTCTACGCTGATAGGTGGACGAGAACAAAGAGCGTTACTATCACGCCGCTAACTAACTTCTGCGCTAGCCTCGTTCCTCAGCTAACTCAGGAAAATTGTGCTGGGGAAGAATGTGGGAAATGCTGAGGTCCGAGAGTACAAAGTGCGTGAGAAGACTCGACGTTAACCAAGCGTCGCTAATTCTAATGTGTACTACATTTTTGTTATGTCTGATGCATCAGGTAACGTTAACTGAGTCCTGATATGAAACCCTGTTCGTTGCAGGGTCAAGTTGTTTGGCAGAATACCTGCGAGCTCCTTTGCACACGTGTTGGTTGAAAATCACATAAGAGGCTTGACAAGTTTCATCTCTCAGACCCTGCAGTTTCACCCGAACTATGACCTTCCACGTCGGCTTCACTGATTCACACGAGTTTTCTCCCGTGAACATGAACTACCCAGCCGCCCACATCCATATGCTGCCAGTGGAACTTCTACAGCACATATTCTTGCTCGTCGTCAATGACGTTCCAGACTGTCCTAGTGTCTTCTCCTATGGAGATACAACCATCTCCGCCAATGTTGGCAGCCCTCCCCTAGTCTTCACCCGCGTGTGTCGTTTTTGGCGAGTCATATCACATTCAACGACAGCGGTCTGGTCGCGCATGCAGGTCTCCCTTCCGGGGCGAGTCGAACCGTTGAAACCATTCCTTCTATCTTTCCTCCAGTCGTGGCTTGCACGCTCTGGAAATCAGCCCCTCACCCTCCGCATCGTGTCCGGAGAGCTCCCTGTACGCACCACACGCCGCTGCATGCGACAGTCGTGCCAAGAACCCTCACAAGCAGATTCTCAACTGCTCGAAATCCTTCTTTCTGAGAGCAAGCGTTGGGGAAGCGTGGCTCTGGCGTTCGCAGACGACCTTAATCGTAACTTCGACACACCCGAGTTGAAATCCTTGCAGTGTTGCTGGTCAGAACTCAGCAGTTTCAATGCACCAAACCTCACTCATCTACACATCACTTATCGCTGGTCTCTTACTATGCGATTTAGACATATTCCCACATGTGACAACGTACGTCATCTTTGGGTCCAGAATGCTTCTGCCCGCATCATACGTTCTACTTTCTTCATGTTCCCTCGTATGGAGTCCATCAAGGTCGATCTAATCATATCGGATATCGGCCATCCACACAATTCAGCCACCCACTCTTGCCTCGAATCGATCACTTTCCCCATCCCCTCGGATCCTTTTCAACAACGCGAAGTTCTCAAAATATTTGACGAACTTCGTCTTCCCATGCTGCGCAAATTGACGTTTGTGGCAGATCCAGAAGAGTCGGAAGTTTCCTGTATTATGGCAGCGCTGGAAATTGCATCTTGCAACGTACAGGTGATAGACTTGCAGACGACCACACCGTTGAGCGAAATTGATGTGGATGTCATTGAGCCGTTGTTTTCACTTGCGAGGGAAGTTACAATTCGTGGGGAGGTGCTCTGCCGTCCTGTCAGGTAGTACTGTGTCCCCCCTTGATGACACGATAGGTATTGCTCATATATGTTACAGTAGCGAATTTCGGTATTATGTTACAGTTGAGGTATTACAAGATAGGTCAGCGCACAAATTTTGTCCGTCCCGAAAGTTGTTGATATCAAAAGTTCCCGGACCGACCATTACATGTGATAGCGTAAAGCGGTGGGAAACTTTGCAGGGAACTGCCAAACTACACCAAGCGGACAAAGGGTTTGAGGTAATCAGGCAAGGGAGGAGGAGAGCTGAAACGAAAGCGGGAAGGGGGAAAAACGCCGCGAGAGATGCCATCTGCCAGGTTATCGCAAGACCTCACCCATTTAACAGAGATCCGAATACCATGTTCGAGGGCAAATGAGGAGAGACGTTGCAGAATGTCATTTTGGACCACATTACGAGATCGACCAGCCTTAAGGGCTTGAACACCACCCTGGTTGTCAGAATGCAACTGCACACGCACGTCACGAAGACCCGAGTGGACAAGGGCGCGAAGACCGAGGTCGATCGCTACCATTTCTGCCCATCCGATGTCTCGACCATTTGCCCTCCAGCCGTCCAACAATTCCCAAGCGAGCCAGCGGGAATCAGCGAGGAAACCGATACCAAATGAAGTAGAGGCATCGACAAAAATAGATAATGGGGGAGGGTCAAGAATCAGTGGACGGGGCGGGGTACTTTCTAGTCGAGTGTGAATGACTTGTCGAAGATAATCTATATTTGATATACTGGAACAGGGCTGCGGCTCTAGAGACAATGTCATCATCTTCAAGTAGATAAATGAGTTCTTTAGGGCTTACGTCGTATCTGTCCATCTGGGGTATCGCCCAACTTGGAGAACATGATTTCGAAGGCCTCTTCTGCTTCATTGCAGCGCACAGCGCCAAGAAGCGCTGCATTCCTTAATTCGTACCCTACGTAAGAAGAAGGATTGAGTTTAATGACCTATGCAATTGGTAGAATAAGCGCAACTGCTAGAGAAATGATAACTATCGTCCTCACCCTGTTCGCATCGTGGAGAGCCACTACGAAGAGGTTGCGTTCCAAATTTGCTTTACTGCGGCGCACCAAGAGTGACTCGCATGAAGAGTCCAGCTCGATGCCCGCTGAATACAGCTCAATAGCCGTTTCATAATTTTTTGCAGCAACAGCTTCGTCTCCCTTTGCGACACAGCGCGCAGTGCAATCGTTCTTGAATGCTAAATGATACCAGAGTAAGTGTCAATGCTCAAGCCATCTAAGACCCCAAAGTGCTCACCAGTAGACCACTCGAGGTCACTGTCCTTCACATCCTCATCGATCATGGACATCATATATTGGTGGGATTCGACAGCTTCGATCACTCGATCAGCGCAGAGGCATGCTTCGCACCGTATTTGGTTGACGGTTTGCCATGACGTATCCAAGTCCCAGCCGAAGAGCTGTCCAGCATATCATCAATCAGTGGAAATGAGCTCTGTGATCTCATGGCGCACCACCGTGAATATCTTCAATCTAGGTTCAAAAAGTGCTCTGCTCGAAAACAAGTCCGTTATACTGGGAACACTACGGTCGAGTTGATCGGCGGCTTCGCTGTACCGCCCACCCTGGAAAGCAATGACTGCAAGCTGCACACGTAGATACGACTGACAGGTATGGTCGAGAGTGAGAAAAATTCGAGGTCTGACACAAAGCTCACATTCACAACGTTGCACGGAGTTGGATCCGAGTGTTGAGAAGCGGTCGTGAGGTCTTGAACGCGCCGCACTGCCTCATCGTAGCGACCGGCATAGAAAAGCGCAATAGCCTGGACAAAATGATATCGAAGCTTGGTGTGACAAACTGACTGTTAGAACAGTGACTACAGTACCTTGATCAATAGTAAAAGATTGATGATATTCGGATCACTATTGGAAAATACAAAAGCAGAATCAAAAGCTTCCATCGCGTCCCAGAGCTGCTTGCTGCCGCAAAGGGCGATGCCCTTGGAGATGTAACCCAATAATGAGGGCTCGATAGCAATAGACTATGCGACAAAACTGAGTAACCTATCGTCGACGACATCATGAGAGACAGAATATCTGACCCTGACTGCGTCTTGAAGCGCATCGTCCCACTCGGACTTTCGCGCCCTTACAATTGAGCGATTAGCATACGTATCGCGTCTGTTGTCATCTTCGTCAAAATCAATCTCATGAGTCAGGAGGTCTTCGATTATATGAAGGTCCCCGGAATTGCGAACAGTCTTCTTTATAGCGAAGATCTACATAAAGTAAGTTCACGTTCGGTCAAAGGTGAACGAAGACAAATAGCTGACGTCAAATAATGAGTCTTGGTCGTCACTGCCAGAGGCGTCGTGGGTGTCGGAGTCACTTGTACCATCTTGATCAACAGAGGGCTCTTTGTAATTGCCATTATAGCCGGTATGCTCATTTTCGCTGTCGCAACTACTCTGTGAGTCAGTACGCAACAAAAAATGACATGGATGAATGGAAAGGCAGAACAACAACGAGCAAGAACATACCTGCGTTTCACTGCTGCGGAGTTGTTCTCCATGTACTTCTTCGTACTCTGTTGTGCTTCCCTCCACGTTTTCATGCTCCAGTATATCCCTAACAGACCAAAGCTGAAGATTCCCATCATCGGCTCCACTCACAAGCAGCTCTGCATCGGGAGAAATTGCGACAGAGTGAACTTTCTTGGCGTGCTTAAGTGAATGTCCTATCTGCTTATGTGTCTTTGTGCACCATAGCCGCACAGTGCTGTCGTCCGATGCTGTGGCGATGAAGGAGTTATCTGAAGAGATGGCAAGACAGGTGATCCAGCGAGTGTGACCGATGCACGGTTGACCAATCTTTTCTCCATTAGACGAATCCCAGAACTTGGCTGTATTGTCGGATGATCCAGAGACAAGCTGGTTACCGTCAGGCGACCACACAACACTTCGAACTGACCATTGGCCAGCGTTGATCTTGAGCAAACATTCGGCGTTAACGGTGCGCCACACCCGGATGGCATGGTCAGATGATCCGGATGCTAATTTTAGCCCATCCGGGCTAAATGACACACTCCACACGCGTACGGTTTTACGATGATCGAGTGTTGCAAGGACTGCGCCAGTCTCTGCATCCCATACAACAGCTGTCGAATCATGTGAACCGCTTGCGACCCTCCATCCATCCGGGGAGAAGCACACACAGTTCACCTTCTCTGTGTGCTTCACCAGCGGATCGAGCAACATCTGTTTGCTCTCGGCGTCCCAGATGATGACGGTGGTATCATCTCCACCACTCGCAATTCGGCTGTCGTCTGGAGATATGGCGACTGATCGCACCCGGTCCGTGTGCCCCTTGAATGGCTCTCCCACCATTTCTCCTGTCTGCCGCACATCTAAAATTCGCAAAGTTTTATCATGTGAACCAGTGACGACCCGTCGACAGTCTCTGAAGAATGCCACTGCCCACACTTTGTTCTTGCGCCGTCGCACCGCTTGTATTGGCGCAGGCTGCCCTTCCAAAGTATCTCTTGCTGTATCAGGTACCCCTGACATATTGTGTGACCTAGACAGAGAGACGAGTTAGAGTAAATTCAAGTTGACAAAGAGCGTACGTTTGGGTTATCGTTGTGTCGTGGTTGCTGTGCAGTGGGTTCTTGGCCTCTTTTCCGAGTCGCGACTCATGTCCTAGGTGCTTATGTAGAATTCTTGGATGGGTCCGCGGGTCCGGACCACGCTGCTGCAGCATGGATCTCATATCGCTTCCTCCGAATCATCACCCAGTCTAGTATTCATTTCACATTGCAATTACTTCAAAACAGGATACATCAATGTGTTAAATTTATCCGAGTCTATCGGGCAGTGATGGTTCTCGGTATATCATGTTATTCTGTGGGTGGAGCTCGAGGAAGAGAGTCAATGTGAATTCCTCCGGCTCCTGACAAAAGTCAGTACATGTCTGCGTTCGAACACGCTCACCGAATTAGACACATGAAACTAAACAGTGAGTATTGTCTCTGTTGGTAGTATGCAGATATGTGAATAATGCATTGAATAGATGTAGCACTGTTGATCCAATCGAGCCAAGGGACATCCAAAACCTAAAGATACTTATCGGGCATCATTCAACAATCGTTTTAGGTGCGGAGCTTTAGAATCAGTCAATCGTCGTGCTGCTAATTACAGTCGCATACCATCCATTCGAACCATCGAAACTGGAACCAACTTTCAAAGAAATACTACTTATACAGTTATACTAGTCACCTGTAGCTGGGATAGTAATGTATCACTTACTCTTATCATAGCGAAATTGTAATACATGAATCAGTCTGTTGTATAGTGCGCAGTAATACATTACTTCCCTAGTAGGCCATACTGTTCCCCAGTAGGCAATACATTACTTCACCAGGCTGTACTGTCCCCTAGCTATAGGCACACAGATCTGGTATGTTGTTTCTTGATCTCATAGATCTGGTGTACCTTGCGATCTTGATGAGATTGGCTTCTAAGTTCTTCTAAGTTCTTTCGGTTCTTTCGGTCTCTAAAAACCTGTTTCGGTCAATGACTCGTGCGTGATTACTAATGTTTCAAGGGCAGTACATGAACGGATGTGCTACAAATTGTCCTACAAGTGGGGTTGTTCGGCACTGACAAGGTCTGGTACGTCTTTCCACAGGTTCTGAAAAGAGGCCACAAGTAGGGATCTGCACGGGTACGGGTACTACTGGGGTATGGGTACGGGTCGGGATTCTAAGACCCGCGCTCTTACCCGTACCCCAGCTATACCCGTGCCTTCCATAAACGCGATACTTCCCGTGTGCATGCTACAACCGGCACCACCACCAAGCACTCACCTGCTAACACACCACCACCAGCATCCTCGCGTTCGGCAGCACTCGCTGCACCCCCCATGCCAATTCTTCTGGCACCCGTTCTAATGCCACTAAGCACGTCAATGGACGCCCTCAGCCAGCAACCACCACCACCATTCACACGTTCCTCGACGCCGGCACCACCACCACCATCGCTAGCAGCTCCCTTCCCACAGCAACAACCACCTCCATCCAGGACGCCACCAGCAGCTCCCACCTCATGCTACCAACCACCAGCATCGAGCGTCTGCGCCCAGAGCATGCCAGCGAATGCTGGCGTGGCTCAAACACATACGGAGGATACGAGGACGAGGAAAGAAGGGAAAGAGAAGGAAGTGAGAAGGAAAAGAGGAGGAATGAGAGGAGGAAGGAAGGATCTTGTCAGTAAGTTGCCGTCCTGACTCTGCCCCCATTTTCTGCAATGAGGATGCAACGCCCGACACGTCACACTCTCGCGCCACCACACCACCATCTCCCATTTCGACACGCTCACCTTCGACTTCAATCGTACGCGACACACCACCTGCCACGACATCAGCGTCTATTTCGACGCGTCCGTCATTCGCGCTGTGCCTCCACTCCTCCTTGTGCCATCCACATATGTTCGAGTCACATCAGCATTCGCTGACGTGTGCTGGACATATGTGCTAAGCACTGGCGGTGATACCTATGGTACCCGCGGGTAAACCCTGCACGGGTGTGGGTACGGGTCTGAGCTTGTTGTACCCGCCGAAAACCCATACCCGTCAGAGTGGGTACGGGTTTTTGCCGGGTGCGGGTGCGGGTATGGCCTCCAATACCCGGGGGTTTACCCGTGCAGTTCCCTAGCCACAAGCGAGAGACGCAGTGCTGCCTGACGATATGCGTATGCAACTGCTCCTTCCTCATCAGCCGGCTCGAGGGCTCGAGTATTAGCCCGTCCACTCCACCACTCTGCCTGCCACTTCAAGAACACTACAACCCTTCGCATCTCCTCTAGTAGGAGCTCAACTTCTTCTGACCAGCGATTAACTCAGGCACGCGCTTTACACCACTCCACGCGGATGCCTATGACATTGTAGTTAGCATCATATAAAACTACGCCTCGTAAACTCACAGTCCTGAACTTGCTCGTTCTCCGAGCTGCTATTGTCTGCCTGCGAGTCCAGCCAAATCCATGAGATGGTCCCAGTACCCTGGCTCTCCATATCACCCATAGGTCAGACATCCAAATCCAGGAGTGGTGGAAGGGAAATTTCCCAGCCAGACTGGTGAAGTCGATGGCTGAGAGTCAGGAGCGCATTGCATGCGCAGCGGTACTTTTCAACACTAACCTGCTTCCTCAGTTCCACACCATTGATGATGGCCTGCGTGCATGTAGAAGCTGCTTGGCCACGTACGTTTCTATCCTTGTACATGTATATATGAGACCGAAGGCGAAGGTGTGATCGGAGTTCGGTGAGAGCATCCAGAGCTTGCGCATGGCGTAACTTCCATTCATGTGCTGCCAGGCTCTCATTGCACACTGTCATAGGTTGGAGTTCCGATGGCAGCCACAGCTTGAAGGCATCAGGCTTTAGCTCCACTGTATTCAACATACTAGCATCCGACGTTCAATGATGCAGTTGGGACACAACAGGCATGTACAACTCCTGGACACGGGCCCATGCATCCAGACGACGTTGCAGAGTAGTGATGCGCAGCTGCATGTTACTCTTCTGCTTGTCCATAGGGTGGAGAGACGCACTAACAATGTCCATCTTCAGGCGCTGTCTGCCGGTTTGTGTATTAGCGTGATGAACTTGATTCTTGCAGAGGAGACTTACTGTTGGTCTTGCAGATCCATGCTGGTAGTGATTAGTCCGCTGGGAGATATATCAGTGTGCAAGGAGGTGTTGGTCCCAGCCTGAAGCTCACGAGCTTCAAGCTCAGTGAGTTGTAACTGAACTGCTGCCTGTGTAATACCTGCTAGATATTAATATATGAACTGAAACAAACAAAGACTGTTATGACACACAGTCGTGTGTGACTAGGATGATCTAAACAGCGACAACCACGACAGTGGTACTGAGTGCTGAGAGTCGTCGGCCTTTACAGACAAGCAAAGGTTGCGTACTCGAACGTAGCTCGTGGTGGTTAACGAGGGGTTACGCTGAGATGATAGCAGGGTTTACAGACAGTGAGAGGCGTCACTGAAGGTACGAGTCGATGTCGAGCAGGTAGCTTTAGCGGGACAAGGAGTTCAAGGGTAAACCTAGTAAGATTAAAGTAAGGAACGTCTACTGTTAATCTTCGACCTTATATAAGGCTACTCTTCGTATCTAAGCTCAGCCTAAAGCTGGGTTCTAATCTGCTTATCCACATGAGTCAGAGATAGCGTCCATGAGGCGGGCTTCTATCGTAGATAGGATCCATGAGGCATCCTTCTATCAGTACATGAGGCAGCACGAGGCTTGCCTTCTATCTTGATAACATAAATAGGTCTTCTAGACCTATGTCGTCATGTGTTGTCACGTGCGGTCCAGACCGCTTATCTAAGCCGGCAGTTGCCGCTTATCGTCTATCATCATCTATCGTCATCTGTCGTCATCTATCGTCATAGAGCTGGTGAGACTCCGGTATCGTCTATAGCCATGCGGTGGCAGAGGGCTGTTCTGCTGGCAGGGGACTCATGCCATGTTACTGTAACATTACCCCATTACTAGCGTCAAAGTCACCGATTTTGACTATCCTGTGTTCTTTGTCAGCTTCCATCGCCGGAGATATCGGAGGTGTGGAGACGGCTGGTGCAGAGGGAGTTTCTGGTTCGGGCGAGGGCGGTGCTGGGTATCTGAGCGTGAGGTCCGCGAGCGCTTTGTGGTTATGCTCCCAATCTAAGAGAGCTTCAAAAAACTTCTCTTCATCTCTAAACTCTTGGAGTATGATGTGTCCATTGAGTTGAGGGCAGTGGACCGACAGATGGTCGGGTCCGAGTTCATCGCAGATGCAACAAACATAATCTGGACACTTTCTGAATGAGTGTCCGTATCCTCCGCAACGCTTGCAGAGCGTGGTACGGGTACGATCTATGGTGGCCGCCTTTCGTCTCAGCGGGCGCACCGGTCGGGATCTTTCTTCATCAGGAGGCCTTGCCTCGACTGTTCTGACAGCTTGGTTCGCAATGTCTGGGAAGTCGAGCGGAAGGAGGTGAAGCGCGAGTACGCGAATCCTTTTCTGTAAATGAAGCACGGCAAGTTTCTTCGTGCTTTCATCGAGGTCATCACGATTGGCTATGTCTTCCAGTAGCTTCGTGGTACGGATAATGCAGACAGCAAGGGATGTCCCTGCACCGAGTCTGGCGTCTTGCTCGCCAAGGATGTCGTCGATCACTTGGGAGTACATGGGGGTGAGAATAGCGGTCTCGCTGAACGCGTTGTTCTCAATCGTTCTGAGGATGCGTCCGTAGTCGGAGTCCTTCAGTGCAATACGGATAGTTTCTTCTTCAATAGAGGTCGTCATGATGTTGGGAGGTTTCTGGGGAATATAGACATTCACGGGAGGCTCATATGATTGCTCCATGTCTTTTCCAAGCTCCGCTTGATTTCTAGACTTATCTTTTGTCAAGTTCTTCTATCGTTATCTATCTAGCCATGAGGCTAAGATCTTCTCGTTATCGGGACACGAGGGGTGGTTCTGCACTATCAGAGGGGAGGTGCCGTGATAGGTACGATCTTCGTTAATCCTTTGTTTAATCAGGATCAAGGTTCGTCATCATCAGAGGGTGGTAATCATTGCCGTTGATGGTATCTGCTTCGATCTCTTGTTTGATGATCAGAGTCGAAGTCGTTCTAGAGGGTTCCGAGGGCTTGCAGGAGTTTCCAAGGAGTTCGTCTCGTGATAGTTTTACCTCGTTCCGGAGGATCGTCTTCTTATCTTTTGTTGAGATCTGTCATGATCTATCTGGATGTCGAAGGGGGTTCTGTGGATAAGAGATCCACGGGCTTGCAGGAGTTTCCGAGGGTTCGTTCTTTCTCCAATTCTTCTTTTTTTATCTTTTGTTTCGATCTTGCTTTAAGATCTATCTGGATATTTGAAGGTCATCTTCTTTTAACCTTTTGTTGATATAATCTTCATTGGGTGAGAAGGTTCGGGGTCCAGGCGCAGGTGCCAAGGCTTGCAGGAGTTTCTTGGGGTCGTCTCGCGAGGAGGGGTCTTCTTAATCTTTGTTGAATAACTCTTCATTGATTATTGAAGGATCATGGATAAGGGGTTCCAGGGCTGTAGGGGCCGTTCGGGGAGTTCGTCCTTTCTCCTAGTTTTACGTCATCTCGGACAATCGTAGTTTAACCTCGTTCCGGAGGATTGTGCAGTTTAAACGTCATGCTGGACAGGCGTAGTTTATTCTCTTTGCGGAGATCGGTGCAGTTTAAAGCCATGCCGGGCTCAAGTCGAAGTCGTCATCAGATGTTCATATCAGAAGTAGTCGGGAAATGGTATTCGTGGTGGGGGTGTCGTGCGTGAAACGAGAATAAATCAGGGATTTTACCCCCTCAATAAGCCGTTTAGTCTACCATGACTAATCTTCAGAAATCTAGGCCATCGTCAGGGCCTTCGTATTCGATGTCGTTTCCTTCGTCATCAACCATGCGCCAGTTGTGTGTCGATGGTTCTTCTAAATCCAACCATATATTTTCAATGGGATTGGAAGCAGGGTGTGGCGCGTAGAGCGCCCGAGGTTCGGAAGCGAGCGTTATTGCTTCTTCGCTTCGGTCATCGTCAGATTCCATATCTGTGAAGCGGATAAATTGCGGTCCGACTTCTTCTTCTTCCTTCTTTACAAGACGAGCGAACTCGTCAGGGTCATTTTCTTTCAGAGCCTTCAGGCAGTGGGCCTCGTTTACAATACGAACACGTTCTAGGAACATGTCGAAGTCTGAGTCAGAAGACTGTTCGGGTGCGGGTTCCTGGTGTTGCATCATTGCATCGATGTTATCAGCGGGGATCTCCGCAGAAGGTGCTGAGAGATTCAGGGAATTCGGGATGGGGTTTTCATCGGCTGTGTCGGTATCATCAGCCGGGCTTTCGTAAAACCTGAGTTTCTTGGCTTCAGGTGGTTCCGCCGTCGACACGGCTCTTCCTTTTCCGAGAACGGAAATCGGTTCTCCGGAAAATTCAAATCTAGGGGTCGTCTGAGTTTTCTCTGGTTCAGGGGCCAGTCTGGGTGCCTTCGAGATAGGCGGTTCTTCTGTCATAACTGCACGTCCTTTTCCGAGGATTGATGCAGGCTCCGCCGAGAACCGAAAAGGTTCAGGAGTCTCTTCTTTCATCGGCTGAACAGTCGGTCCGATCTTCTTTGCAGGTGCATCAGGGATGATATAGTCCGTGATTACCGCAGGTCTTATGACCTTCTTCTGAGTTGTCTCCAGATCAGTGGCCGGTCTCTTCTGCTCAAATCGTCGTGCTGCGAGGTCAATACGAGGCAGCGAATCTTTCTTCACAATCGTCGTTGATCGTGGTGCGGGGGTAGGGAGTTTCACGGATGGCGGGTTTCCGTGCGGTTCCTCAAGAACCAGTACAATCTTGGTCGTTGGTGCCAAGCTCATAGAAGCGAGGCCACCAGAGAAGGTGTGGGGAGTGGTCGGGGAAACGGACCTTTTCCTTTTCTTCTGAGCGCCCTTCTTTTCTTCTTTCTGGAAGAGAGGTGTTTTGCCGTTCTTCTTCCGGTCGGAGTCTATCTCCTTTTCTTTCTTTCGGGAATCTACGGTGCTCTTGAGAGTCACCGTGCCATTCGTCCAGTTGATGGCGGGGTTGTGGCTGATAAGCCAAGGTTGTCCGAGCATGAGCTTCTCTTTCGGAGTAAGCTCGGCAAGGTAGAACCGTTCGGTGCATACCCGTTCGTCTATCTGGAAGGAGAGAGTACAATACCTCTCAATCGGCTTCTTTCCGAAGCTAGATCCGTCAGCATTAGAGAGCGTAAAAGGCTTCTCTAGCTGGTGCGACGAGATTCTGTGCTGCGTGCAGAAGTCCTTGTTTACGAAGGACTGGCACGCCCCTGAGTCGACGACCATAGATGTCGCGATGGGGGTATTTCTCGTTCTGGTCATCAGGGTGGCTTTCACTCGTAATTCGTTCTTCTTAACTCCGGTCTCTTTGATAGAGTTCAACCGGAGGTCTTCTTCAATCATCTTTCTCCGCGGGGTTCTGGGCCATTGTGGGCAGCCCGCGGCTTTGTGGCCAATGACGTGGCATACAAAGCATCTTTTCTCGTTCAAGTAGATACGAGTTTCTTTTCCCGTAAGGTGGGAAGCAGCCAGGGTGTTTCGGGAAGTTGCCATATTGGAGATGGTTATCTTCGATCTTCGTAGTGTTCCGAGCAGGAAGTTTTCTACTGTGACAGCGGTTCTTATATTCTTGCGACTGGTCAGGCCGGTACGTTTCGGGGTTTCTTCTACAGATCTTCGGTAGCATTGAAGATAGGTACGATCAGGGATCTGGCGTCACAGATGGGTGACGTGCGAGTTGAACTTTAATCTTTTGTTACAACAAACGGTCGTGTGCGACTAGGATGATCTAAACAGCGACAACCACGACAGTGGTACCAAGTGCTGAGAGTCGTCAGCCTTTACAGACAAGCAAAGGTTGCGTACTCGAACGTAGCTCGTGGTGGTTAACGAGGGGTTACGCTGAGATGATAGCAGGGTTTACAGACAGTGAGAGGCGTCACTGAAGGTACGAGTCGATGTCGAGCAGGTAGCTTTAGCGGGACAAGGAGTTCAAGGGTAAACCTAGTAAGATTAAAGTAAGGAACGTCTACTGTTAATCTTCGACCTTATATAAGGCTACTCTTCGTATCTAAGCTCAGCCTAAAGCTGGGTTCTAATCTGCTTATCCACATGAGTCAGAGATAGCGTCCATGAGGCGGGCTTCTATCGTAGATAGGATCCATGAGGCATCCTTCTATCAGTACATGAGGCAGCACGAGGCTTGCCTTCTATCTTGATAACATAAATAGGTCTTCTAGACCTATGTCGTCATGTGTTGTCACGTGCGGTCCAGACCGCTTATCTAAGCCGGCAGTTGCCGCTTATCGTCTATCATCATCTATCGTCATCTGTCGTCATCTATCGTCATAGAGCTGGTGAGACTCCGGTATCGTCTATAGCCATGCGGTGGCAGAGGGCTGTTCTGCTGGCAGGGGACTCATGCCATGTTACTGTAACAGATGACACCATTCACGTACGATACGCATGAACGCAGAGTAGCGATCCTAGAAGTCATATATCAGTACTTGCAGTATTTATACATACCAGCTACATACCCTTATAGGTAACAACCCTGCATGATTGTTTCGTCTTACTAGGGACTGGTAGAATTCGTATGTGGAAACCTTACTCTCGAATGAGAGGAGATGGAAGTGCTCGAGTAGACTGAAGGTTGCAGCAGTACGAGGCTCAGATGTTGTAGCTGGATACCAGCGAGCATGAAGTAACTGTTTGTAGTGCACCTGACTGCTTGCACAGCCACAGAAATCGAGCGTGATCTCATGAATGCCATGGACGTCAATTACAATGAAGTCATCCCCGGTAGAGGGATGAGGGTTGTAGCAGATCTTGCCTGGATTATGACCTAACTGCATGCAGAGACCGATTTGTTTCAGAGAGGTGTGCTGGAAATACGAGTTACTCCACATCTAATAGGGTGCTGTGAGTCTTTAATTAATATAGCAAATGAAAAAAGTACATACGTCAATCCTGTGTAAGGGATTGCTCGCGTGACTGTGAAGCACACACTGGTTGCAAAGCATTCGCATCCCAAAGCAATCCCGACATCTGAAAACAGGTGCGGCGAGACCACAAAAACATGAATCTCCTGCATTTCCATGACCCTCGAGGCGCAGCATTTCATTTAGAAACACCTGGCGCTCAGGGATCCAGGCTAGTAATGGTGCATCCTGAGGGGTAATTTGAGTTCTGCAGTAAAGATATTATAAGACAAATAAACTTACCGCAGCAGTGCGTTTCCGCTTGTCAGAGGACGGTTCGCAAATGAGTTCTGCTGACCCCTCCTCATATTCTGGAGGGCATTCATCCCAATCACCACCGAAGAGAATCCATTCATTGGACGCAATGTGTGATAAGTCGGGGGGAGAAATAGTGCTCGCAGGAATATAACTTGTGTTGACGTTCGTGCGACCCTCAGAGGTAATCCCTGCTGTATGAAGGCGCAAAAGTGGGGCGTTGTCTGCACTTAATGAGGAGGGCACAAATTGAGTTTGCTCAATCCGAGCAGTCTTGACTGGGCGTCCTGCAGGCATAATGGATCTTGTCCAACAGAAAGAATCTCAAGGCTGAAAACGCCGAAGAACCTTAGGAGGATCTCGGAAAATATATATATATTTCTTACCGTACTTAAGATTTCTGCTGCTTCACTCTGTCCTATCACCTGGCTTGTGAGTCTAACTGCAGACGATAGTGTAAAGTCTGCTAACAAGTACTTACAGACAGCATGCAGTCTCCTTTGACTCGGCCTCTTAGCACGGCCTCCTTGATGCATAGACGCCAAGGTGAGCAAATCAAAATCAGTCGGCGTTGCCCTTCATAATCAAACATCTATAACCAGATGTGATTGCGCGTGCCCGTTCAATTGTGGCCTTGCACTTTCGAACACGGTGAAGGTACAACAATTCAGATGGTGAGTCTGAACAATGTTGGGTCTTGCAGAACCTAGCTGCTATTCGACCCTAAAGGATTTCTGGACCAGGCTCAAGGCTCAGAGGAGAGGAAATGTCATAAAAACTACTGAAGACTCAGACTCATACTGGTAACTGGTGAAAAGGTAACTTCATTATGTAAGCTACAAAGTGCCAACATAAGGTAAGGTAAAAACAGTCTCTGCAAGCCCAGCCAGAAATGAATCCCTACAACGGGCGTTGTGTTTTACACCTGCTCAGGTGGAGTGGCTGAAAGAGCGTCTACCAGCCTACATGACACACCATCCGAAGTCTGAGGAAACCCGACACTTGATTGAAACAATGCTCATGGAGTTTGACGCATTGTGGCCAATGTACCAAGAGTTATGGCCGGGATGCGACACTAATGCTCCATTGACCGACGATACACGTGCGAAGCTGTTAGCCAAAACATTAATCTATCGAGCGGTAAGTGAACATGCACGTAATGAGCGCCAGACATTTCCACTGACCTCGGAGAAGACTATAACCAGCTACCTGTTGTGGACAACACAATACAAGCTGCATTGCAAGAAGAACGAAACAGGAAAGGAACCTGCCAAATGGTTCTGGTTCTGGGGCGTTGGGCAAACTTGATGTAGTAGTTAGAATATCAAGACCTGTAAACGGCGAATATCAGCCAGTTTCTCGAAGTTAAAAGTACCTGTTAATTGTCTCCGCCGATGTCCATCGCAGTAGGTACCAACAAATTGATGAGGATCATTGTACGAAGAAGTGGGTGATCCGTTGATCTGCGCAGAGCTTAGTCAACTAGTTATTACAACTTGTTCAAGATTCACATGTGTTCCGGCCCCATATGGGACGAACAACGCCAAGTGAAGGCCTACGATGGACTATCTCCGTGGACTTGCCTGTATTCACTGTCGAGGATTATGGGTGCGTGCCAAGCTATAAATCCCAGAGTGATGCATCATCTACTACTGACAGCAGCTCTACTACTTATTCAACATCCAGCCTCGAAATCATGACTCAATGTGTGTCTCCTTCCAGTCAGACTGACACTGTGGTGTCTGTTCGACTGGAAGGTCTGATAAATATGCTCCAGGGTCTCTGTCTTGAAGACAGGACGGCCATATCAGTTGCATTGCTGGCTCATTCTGATCCAGATACATCCAAAGGTGAATCTCTCAGTATTTTTGGTTTATTATGACTGACATGCCAGCTTCCTCAATGTTTCAGGGCCTGCCCCGGCTGCTTCTACCACCGATATTTTGGTGCCTGTTCCAACCACCAAGGCTCCCTCTGTCCCTTCTGCTGCCCCCGATGTAGCTCCAGGTTGGGTATATGGGTCTGTCACCCTCTTGGCAGACTCTGATGACGAGAAAGACTCTACCGATGACGAGGATGCATCCAATGCAGCCAGTTCTCTCGCGGATGCCTCCCACATCCATCATTACCGTGGCAAATATTTCAATGTGCCCATTAACGATAAGGCGCCCTTGTACTATATTACGAGGGGTCGTTACATTGGTGTTTTCTCAGGCTGGTAAACTAAGCGTGCTTCATTTATCGTGTTGACTAAATTTTCGTCTCAGGGATGCCACTGGCCCCAAGGTTCTCGGTGTTTCTTGTGCTATATTTCACAAAGTAGACACTGTTGAGCAAGGTATTATGATTGTGAAGCGCGCGATAGAACGTGGCGAGGCAGTGCAGGTAGTCTAGATCTTAGCAGCGCACAATATTGCTTAGTTGTTCATACCAATCCATATGAGCAGTGAAAGACGTTGAACAATTACAATTAAAGTCTACGAATCCTTCTCCTGTGAACAAGTGCTACCCTCTGCAACACGAACCTCCTGCAGCAACCAAATTCTCGCACCCTCGACAAGCTCAACGAGTGATGTTTTAGACTAGAATAATTCAGCACAAGGTATGTAATGGAGAGATAGAAACATACCATACAATAACGATACTCTGTGGACTCAAAAGTATAGGCTACTGGTGAAGGAGGTGGAGCAGGAGGAACGATGTAGGCGAGCCTGGTTGGCATATTTAGTATGCTATGAAAATCACAAATCAGTATGTTATATCATCGTGGAGTGAGACCATACCTGAGCGTGCAAGGTAAAAGACCGATGTTTGGTTAGTTGTATGGGAGAAATAGCAGCATACACTCGAGTAAATCTCCAAATTGATCTCCCACATGAATCTGTTCGAAACTCTTACACAAATATAGAGCATATCAAGCGATGTACTTTGAACTCACTTTTTGACACATGGGACGACCACAACTACACAAGACTGACGAAGATAGAGCAGAAGCTGCACATGGCTATCATCGTGCTTATTGTGCACGGTATGTTTCAATAGTGTCGTTTGGCTTGGTATGGGTGTCCATGGAACTAACAATACTTTTCAGTCAGTGCCACGACAAACAGCATAATAGGTGAGAGAAACATACCTGCCGGTGTGATGCGAATGGCATCTAACATCACCACAGTGATACTCCATCGATGCCTGTAGGAAGGCCACGCATATACCATACGCCTGAGGAGAAAATTGAAGCAGCATGCACTTACAGGCAGATGTATTATGAACGGTATGTTGTGACGACTCACTAATTAGATACTTCGCTGATCATTGTGTAGTCACCGTGATCAGATTCGTGCCAAAAAGCAGGAGAAAGATCAAGTGAAGCCGAAGTTGAAAGAGTACGTGACAATTTACATGCAGGGTGCTTGACTGAGGACCGGACAATTCAAGCAGTGGTCTCAAACTGTCGTATTCAAAGACAGGTTACGGCAACAAGAAACTCTCTCACTGGTATGTCATTTTGGGAGTATTCTGTCGCATTGGATATTCACGATCTTGATCAAACAGGACCAAAAAATGCGATGAGATTGATGCCTGCTTGCAGGTGTTGATTGGCCCTTCAAGCGCAAAATTTGTTGAGGGTCTTTGCACGTACTTTATTTCTAACCCAAACAGCCCAGATTCGTTGGATGTCATGCAGGGAGCTATCGATAGCTTGAAAGACCTTTATCGACGTGCAGAGTCTGAGGTAGAGAGCATTATTGAGGAATGTGGGACAGGTTGCGACCTCAATTGTACACAGGATTCTGTATTTCGAATTCGCAGAGTGCTAACAGCTGTGGAAGATTTATTCATTCATGCTAGGCTTGGGGTAGACTACTTCATCGAGGCACATGAGCAACACAGATTGAAACATCAAATTACTCAAGACAACACCACTAGTACTTAGTAGTACGTACTAGTATACTCCAGTATCTATCCGTGCAGAATGCTTGCCAAACCCACTAGAAAGGGATGGTTTCTGAGTAACCAGGTGAGCTACCCATACTGGCATTGTGTACGGCTTCTCGAAGTTGGAGTGCAAGGAACTTACTGAGCAACTGTGAAACGACTATGGTTTATCTGCCAAACATTACCATGTCAGTATGGACTCACAAGAGCGCAGCGCCACTCAAGAAGAATGGCAACTTCTCGAAGTTGGAGTGTGAGGAACTTACTGAGCAACTGTGAAACGACTATGGCTTATCTGCCAAACATTATCACACATTACCATGCCGGTATGGACTCACAAGAGCGCAGCACCACTCAGGAAGAATGGCAAAATGGCAGCTGTAAGATAGTTGCAGCAACGGTATGGTACTCACAGTGTGGCATCATTGAGTTCTGACAGGCAAGAGTAAGTGATACATTACTATCCCAGCTACAGGTGGTTTGGGATGGGAATCGACAAACCAGATGGTAAAGTTGTGTTTGCCTTTGTCTGAAATGACTGACTACTAAATTTGGGAGTAATCATGTCTGTGGCTGAACAGGACGCGCTTCGGTCTGACCAAAGTTTTTCATTTCGTGTCTTACTCTAATTTCGCGTTCATTTCGCATCTTCTCGGCAAAATGTATGTATGCTAATCACCTCACATTGATTTAAGTGCTGACTGTTGTGGAATATGATAGATGGCACCACCCACTTGGGCAACCCAGGAGCAGCAAGACTTTATCCTGACATACCAGGACGAGTTCCTCGAATGTAAAAAAAAGGCAACTTCGCTACTTTCTGGCCACCATTCTTCGAGAAATGGGAAGAACAATGGCCTGTAGAGGTCTCAAACGATGATCAACAACTTACCGAGGCGCAGCTGGCCCAGGAGGTAGCCAAAGGAAGGGTCGCGGTGTAGGGATTCATTTCTGGCTAGGCTTGGAGAGACTGTCTTTACCTTACCTTATGTTGGCACTTTGTAGCTTACATAATCAAGTTACCTTTTCACCAGTTCTACTATGAGTCTGAGTATTCAGCAAGTTTCTATCATATTTCCTCTTCTCTGAGCCTTGAGCCTGGTCCAGAAACCCTTTAGGGTCGAATAGCAGCTAGGTTCTGCAAGACCCAACATTGTTCAGACTCACCATCTGAATTGTTGTACCTTCAACTGGAGCCCACCGCGAGGGGAACAGTCAGCAAGATCTAGTTCTGCGCATCTTCGCGTCTAGCGCCATTTAGCACATATAGGTCAATCTCTTTGCATTTTCACAAGCTAACCATCCTTAGTCACGCATTCTCGCGCCTCGCGCGCGCACCTTTCTTGCGCTTCAATGCCTTATAGAATGCCCATCCGTGGCACAACAAACACGCCCAAATTCGACGGCACTACAGACAACCTCGCCGATTTCATTGACGCATATGAGCAGCTCGCTGATGAAGCAGGACTCCAAGGGCTCGACCGCATCAAAGGTATTATTCGCTACCTTGAACGCGATGATCGAGAACTATGGGGAGGCATGCCTGAAGCGGCAGTAAGCGATTATGACGCCTTCTTAGATGAGGTGAAGGTAATGTATCCTGGATGGGATGGCAAGAGACGCTACGCACTCGCGGACTTATGCGCCATCGCGCGAGAATACGCTAACAAACCTATGCCCTCTTGCACCGAACTAAGCAATTACTTGCACGCATTCAGGAAGGTTATGCAGCCACTTATGGATGAAGACCATATTGGAAAGGCCGAACGCGACCGCTTATTCATGGAAGGAATCCCTAGAGATGCTCAGCCGCAAATTCGCTTGCGCCTTATGATCAAGTTCCCCGACCACTATCCACACGACCCATATCCGTTCATGGACGTCTTTGCAGCTGCACAGTTCCTATTACCTGCGCGCGCTTTTCCCGCGCCAAGCGCGCCAGTTAACGCGCCTGTAGTAGTGCCAATTGCGAACTTAGTCCCAGCGACCGCGCCAGCGCAAGCACCGGTGCAAGCCATGGTAACTAAGCGCAAAGATCAATACTACACAAGCCACGCAACGCAGGATACGTCCACTAGCGCTAGTGTGACAGCCGGACTCTTCTATCGCGCATCCTCAGATGATGTACTTGACAAAAGGCCACCAGTTCCTATCCTTGCGCCTCATGCGCACAATTTTCCCACGCCTTCGTGCGATTCACGCTCGCCTGAACCATCAACTGCGCCAGCACACAAAGCTATACCAGACTGCATCGCTTTAGATCATGAACTCGAGCGCGCGCCTGCGAAGCGCAACCAGAAGCGCACTGCAGGCGCCTCTTTGCCCCCATCATCATCTCTTTCTTCACCTGTTTTGCATGCTGACAATTCTTATTTGCTGCCCATGTCAGCATCAATCGCATTGTCTGTAGTCAGGGATGACTCTAAACATCTATTGCACACCAATGCACCACTCAAATCACGCTCGCCTATCGCTATCGCATCGCCTACGGTCAGGGATGACTCTAAATATCTATTGCACAATAACGCGCCCATCGTGGAAGTTATTACGCCATCGCTTGAAACACGCTTGCCTATCGCTATTGCATTGCTTAAGGAAGAAATCTTGCCAATCACGCCTTCACTGTCACCGCTATCGCCGTTCACATCGCCAGAGGTCAGGGATGACCCTAAACATCTATTGCACCTTAGCGCGCCTATAGAGGAGCCTTCTACTGCATCAGAGGCTCAAGTTGCACCTCGCATCAACCAGACTTTGCCTCTGGTAATTCCATCTGTCACTAACAATCACGCGCACATCGCGCTTTTTGCTTCTAGTGACTATCCCTTGCCAGTAAAGCATCCGTGCATCACACTGCCCAACCACCAAGCAGAGCATGTCTCAGGCGACCCTGGGATGACTCAGGCGCACCATATTGCGCCTGAGAACGCGCAATGCGTGCGCCTAGAGGCATTGTATAGTTTCCCTCATCTCATTTCGCGTTTTTTGTCCCTTTCATGTTTAAAGCTCTTAAGGAGCTATATGAGAATTCCAAACACTTTAATTTCATCTTCGCACCAACCCTTGTTCACGCGCCATGATCGCGTGCATCGCGCGGTAATTCCCGCGCCTCGCGCATTCATAATTTTAGCAGAGTTTTCACACTATCACATTTCTATTGTTTCTCCCCTTTTAAATCACATTTCTGTTATTCAACACAAAATATATTCCAATCAGCCATCCAGGCGCGACTTAGGCGCGCGCCGGACACATACATATGCGCCTAACTCCCCCATCATCATCTTCAACTTCGCACTTTCCACATTTATTCGCATTCTTCATGTTTTTGCTTACCATGTCAATTTTGTTCCTGCACACCCTGACGTGCACTATTCTCTTTCACCTATGCGCCTATTGCGCCTTGATAAACCACCCTTACAGCCCATTCGTGCAACATTTGCGCCTAATTCCAAACTATATATGTCTCTCGCTAACACATTTGCAGAGAAATGGCCGTTCCTTGCATGTTCGGCCAATATAATCGAATTCGCGCGAAATCGCCCCAAGGCGCGCACATCGCGCGCATCCTATCAGCTTGTAGAGCACCTCTACACCCCTTGCAGCGCCTCCCATTGGCGCGCCTTCAACCTGCAGCACGTTGTGCAGGAATTCATTCTGCCAGTTACTAGCCCACCTCGGAGTCACAATCAAAAAGGCTTGATGAAGAGGAACCAAGCACCCCAAGCGCGCCAGCCTTGCGCCTTCTGACCCTCGCCTATGCCACACACACCACGCGCTTCAAGCGCTTCAGCTGCGCACCAAAGAAAAACACATACCATTGCTGTTTCATAGGATACCGTTCGTTTTACCCTGGGTTTCGTCCAGTGCTCTTTCATTTTTATTTTCTCTCATTATAACGCCATCCAAAGGACTAATAACACACAGATATATATGCATATAGGGATCGCCTAGAAGAATATAGAAGAAAAAACACCAAAACAACCTTAGATTGTGCCCGCCTAGCTCAATAGGATATTATTTTCTCTTCGCACGCATGACGCAGCACCATGCTCTTTTTACCTTAGAACGCGCAGATATGCGCGCAATCTTCCCGCACCCATGCGCCTCACGTGCGCGTGCGCTTCCCGCGCCTTGCTCATAGGAAGGTGTAGATGTTGACAGCCGCACGAAGAAGACAAGTCGGATAGGACATCCGCAAAGTTTACTGTTTTCTCTTCATATTTTCGCATAAAGTTTTACTCATGCTGTTCAAACCTTTAGCACCTAATATTTAGCGCACCTAGCAGGACTTGGTTTGGACATGGATTGGATCGCTCTTGGACCGCGCCACTTCGCATCATGCTCATGCACGCATATTGGACTCAGAGATCATTGTGCAACAGCCCCTTGCGCCCCCACAGAATGCAGCGCATGCAACACTCACGCATGTTCTCGCGCCTTATGCGCGCGCACTCTCCCACGCTTCATGCCATATGCGCGTGCCTCGCCCACGCTTCGCACACCACAGCCATATCACTCTCACATCATCGCCTCACACCCATGGTGCATTATTCACACCAGAGTCACCCTTGCAATTCGCCATGCTATGCTGCATTCCCACGCCTCGAGCGCATATGCGCGCGCACTTTCCCGCACCTTCGCGCCTCGCGCGCACCTGCGCATTCCCGCGCTTCGTGCATATCATGTGATACATTCCTATGCGTGCGCATTCATCGCCCAACAACCCAAGCATCGTACATGCATCGTACTCGCATACTATCACTTGAGATCCTCACCACACACGCGCTGAGTGGGGACACTCAGAATTTAAGTCCCTGGGAGATGTAGAGACTCATGCCTCTCATTGTGCAATATGGCAGTTTTCACTGGGGAGTACATGGCACGAACTTGTAGCATCACTCTGTGTGCTACCTGCAGCTATCTCTATATGAGGCGCAGCTTTCCCGCGCAACGCGCGCCATGCGCGCGTACCTTTCCCGCGCTTCACGATGTATATGCGCGCGCGCTTTCCCGCGCTGTAGCGCCCTATAGCGCCAGCCATCCAGAAGCATCCATCCACTGTCCACCAAGTTCCCTAGTGCGTATATTTCCATTTCTCACATTTGCATATCGTTCCATCTTTATTTTTATCATGGACCCTTACTTACATATATCTTTACATACCTTACTCGGTAGCGCTTCGGCTCCGCATGACAGCGCTTAGGCGCCATACTTAAGCGCCAGCAGTACATACTTACTTACTCACTTACTCTCCCACCAGAACGACAGAGGACTTACTGGTTACTACCCACTATTTACCTAGCAGAACATAGTAGAAATCTATTTGTTTACACCTTGCATCTCCCTTCTCTTGTCTTACATCATATCATCACCTAAGCAAACTCACTCTTACTCTCTCTTGTTTCCGCATACACGCACGCGCATTCCCGCGCTTCGCGCATTCTTCGCGCCTCGCGCGCACCTGTGCTTTCCCGCGCTTCGCATTGGCCAACCAGTAGCGCTTTCAGCGCATACCTCTAGATCCTTGCTGCACTCGCTTCCCCTTTAGGGTCGAATGCACTTGTCGTCTCAAGTATAGCAGACTAGGCAACGCACGACCTTACAACAATTATAGATACAGTCAGGAGCACTGTTCGTGCCTTGCTGTATTGTTAAACCTTCAACGTTGAAGGTTTAACAATACAGCAAGGCACGAACAGTGCTCCTGACTGTATCTATAATTGTTGTAAGGTCGTGCGTTGCCTAGTCTGCTATACTTGAGACGACAAGTGCATTCGACCCTAAAGGGGAAGCGAGTGCAGCAAGGATCTAGAGGTATGCGCTGAAAGCGCTACTGGTTGGCCAATGCGAAGCGCGGGAAAGCACAGGTGCGCGCGAGGCGCGAAGAATGCGCGAAGCGCGGGAATGCGCGTGCGTGTATGCGGAAACAAGAGAGAGTAAGAGTGAGTTTGCTTAGGTGATGATATGATGTAAGACAAGAGAAGGGAGATGCAAGGTGTAAACAAATAGATTTCTACTATGTTCTGCTAGGTAAATAGTGGGTAGTAACCAGTAAGTCCTCTGTCGTTCTGGTGGGAGAGTAAGTGAGTAAGTAAGTATGTACTGCTGGCGCTTAAGTATGGCGCCTAAGCGCTGTCATGCGGAGCCGAAGCGCTACCGAGTAAGGTATGTAAAGATATATGTAAGTAAGGGTCCATGATAAAAATAAAGATGGAACGATATGCAAATGTGAGAAATGGAAATATACGCACTAGGGAACTTGGTGGACAGTGGATGGATGCTTCTGGATGGCTGGCGCTATAGGGCGCTACAGCGCGGGAAAGCGCGCGCGCATATACATCGTGAAGCGCGGGAAAGGTACGCGCGCATGGCGCGCGTTGCGCGGGAAAGCTGCGCCTCATATAGAGATAGCTGCAGGTAGCACACAGAGTGATGCTACAAGTTCGTGCCATGTACTCCCCAGTGAAAACTGCCATATTGCACAATGAGAGGCATGAGTCTCTACAGCGGTTCATAAGGTATTTTTACTAACACACGCGCGTTCGAATATTGGTTAATCATTATGGTTAGCGGTTGATCGTAAAACTGCAGAACGATTTTGGAAATTCAAAGGCAGGACGCCGCGCAAACGTCGCTGGTAACACGATTGTTACCAAACTCATCGGTGGCATCGTGAAGAAAGAGAGGAAGAAATCTCGTCCTCTGAAGGCCACTGAGGTCTATTCTAAGATGTACTACGCGTCATGTGTTCAACCCGCAGTCAAGGAGGAACTTGATGCCATGAAGGAGGCATCAGATGCACCTGAACTGAAGAAACGCACAATACAGGTTGTTCGAAGGCAGCTGGCATCCCGGTGGGAGAATGAAACATTGGAGGTGAAGGAAGAAGTCGCCAGCTTAGTAAGAGAAATGAAGGACAAGAGGGAAAAGGACACGAGTGACTGCAAGATACTGTCGAAGGACTTGTAAGTGACACCTAATATTCTGCTGCAATTGTAATGCTGATGGCAAGCAGGGTCATATCCCAGCTTACGGAAATTCTGTCGACATTTTTCAGTGAGCTCCACGACTCAACAGGATGGGCATTTAGTATTTTGCTAGGTGGCCCTGACCCTGCAAATGGCGGCAAACTGGACGTCAGCAGCTTGCATATTGGGACGACTACACTTGGCAATCGATTCAATCAGGCGTGTCCGAAGTTCGAGGAGAGGGTAATGGTACCTTACTTTGAATTTGCATCTCGCGCATTTCGTAAGTTGTCAAATGGTTGTTGTTATTGTTTTCGAGTTGACTCAGAATTGATTGTTTAGCGGAGGCTGCAATATCGCTATCACAGTCAAAAGAAGGCGAAATTGCCAATGACAACAGCTCCACTCCTTCAGATGCTACGCCTGCCACCACATCACCTGCCAACGTCACCCGTGCTTCCTCTCTATTACATACACCTGATACATCGCTTACATCACTCGCGAGTCCTTCCTCTCCCTTACACATACCTGATACATCACTCGCGAGTCCTTCCTCTCCCTTACACATACCTGATACATCACTCACGAGTCCTTCCTCTCCCTTACACACACCTGATACATCATTTACGCTTTGGGGACAGGAATTCACACCCTGTGATACATTACTCGCTAATTTACCACAGGAAGCTGTTCCAGCTTACAACTTCTTCCAGGATTTGCCTTCCAATCCTCAAGACGACGATGAGGATCGTGACCTGGACCAGACAATTTTGCCCATGCCTCCCAACTATCAACCACCAGCACGACCACCCACATTTTGGGGACAGACTCCCGGTGATGTATCACTCCCTACTCCTCAGGACACCTTCCCAACCTACAACTTCTCCACCTCTCTCACTCATGCTGCGGCACCCATTTTGGCTGATCCGGCCGTGCCTGCCACTATACTTGCACCTCATCTTGTGGTACCCATTTTAGCTGATCCGGCCGTGCCCGCCACTGCACTTGCACCTGATTCTACCTCTCCCACTCATCCTGCAGCAACCATTTTGACTGATCCAGCCGTGCCCGCCACTGCACTTGCACTTGATTCTACCTCTCCCACTCATCCTGCGGCACCCATTTTGACTGATCCGGCCGTGCCCACCATTGTACTTGCACTGATGTCTAGTTTGGGAGGGTCCCCTGTGGTTGGTGCAGCACAGCCGTCAATAGGAACAAAGCCTTCCAAACGTAAGGCCACCAAGACGAACATAGAAAGTTCCGACTTGGATATGGTTCATGCAAAGCGGCATCAGAAGAAGGGGGGGGCTGTGGTTGTCTCCAAGAATTCAGAGCCGATTGAGGGAGGTCGGGGCAAACGGCAGCATTTCCAGTCATCTCGGGCAGCCGCTGCCAATGCCATCGGAACAAATCGGTAACACTTTCTTGCATATCTCCGTCGTTTTGTTTTCTTGTTGCCCATGTTGTCCACTCGATGCTGTTTATCTCATATTATATACCATGCAAATGCCGATGTTTTGTAATGAAATTTCTTGAGTCCATCTCGTGTTTGCATGAAGGAAATCCTACACACATTTGTGATTGTCAGTAAGGATAAGGACTGAAACACCTCCGGCATGGACTTCACAGAATTTCTGCATCACTCGTTCTAATTTTAAGGAGTGATACATTAATTGTAGATGTACTTGGGGACTAAAACACCTGGTTCGCAGTCTGGCATGGACTTGGTGAAATTTCTGCATCGCTTGTGCTATTTATAATGCAGTGATATATATAAGAATCGCTAAGAATCCAAATCGAGAGCTGGATCTCCAAGTGATACATCACCATTGCTGCTTGTAGCAGTGCTTTTATATAAGAATCGCTAAGAATCCAAATATAGGCCTGACAAATAAAAGGAAGCACAGACAGCGAGATAAAAATAATGTAGTCTCAAATATAGGCAGCTGACCAATATTAGAAGCGAAGGAAGTTAGGCACAAGGTTGATGGAAGCCAGAAGCTGTACCGGGAGCTGGTGGGAGCCAAATAAACTGGATCCTCCAAGTGATACATCACCATTGCTGCTCGTAGCAGTGCTCTTCAACACACTGATTCATGTATTACATTTATACTACTATTGTCAGGTAACTAATGTATCATTATCACAGTATAGCCTGTACTAGTATAAATAAAAGATCAAGCGGACTTCGAAGACAATTAATGTCTCCCATCACATCTAGGATCGCTCCTTGTATTCAAAATCCTGAGCGGGCCAAATTCTGAGCTCCTCGACGGTGTTTCCGTCAAGCTCGATCGGAGCTCACTTCAAGACGTTCTTTCTGCTCCAAGCTCGTTTCTATTATATAGCTTCCGCCCCACTTGGCAATGGACCAGATGCCGGCATTGAATGTATTGTGACGTCATGAAGAGAGAAGTTGACAATGCAACGAACCTTTCAGATGAATGGTCGCCATTGCAAATGCGAGTTCCACTATGTGCATCTATTTGACAGCATGTTTTCCCCTTTACTCTTCATTTTTCCTCACCTTGTGAAGGTACAAAGTCAGCTGCTCGGACATGGTGATGATGATTTGAGTGATAGCACTTCAACAGAGAAATGCTCAGGTTTATATATGCGACAGGTAAGTCTTTAAGCTCGGTCGGTCATCGCATCACATCCTGGAGGCTGGTGAGCTGACTGCTGGAGTTATTAGTTGTCAGGTAGTACTGTGTCCCCCGTTGGTGACACGATAGGTATTGCACATGTATGTTACAGTAGCGAATCTCGGTACATAATATCGTATTTATGTTAGGGTTGAGGTATCACAAGATAGGTCAGTGTACAAATTTTGTCCGTCCCAAAAATTGTGGATATCAAAAGTTCCCGGACCGGCCATTGCGTGCAATAGTGTACATAGAGCGGTGGGGGACCTTGCAGGGAACTACCAAACTACACCAAGCGGACAAAGGGCCTTAGGTAATCAGGCAAGGGAGGAGGAGAACTGAAACGAAAGCAAGAAGCGGGGAAAACACCGCGAGAGATGCCATCTGCCATGTTATTGCAAGACCTCACCCATTCAACAGAAATCCGAATGCCATACTCGAGGGCAAATGAGGAGAGACGTTGCAGAATATCATTTTGGACCACATTGCGAGATCGACCAACCTTAAGGGCTTTAACACCACCCTGGTGGTCAGAATGGAACTGCACATGCACATCACGAAGACCCGAACGGACAAGGGCGCAAAGACCGAGGTCGATTGCTACCATTTCTGCCCACCCGATGTCTCGACCATCTGCCCTCCAGCCGTCCAACAATTCCCAAGCGAGCCAGCGGGAATCAGCGAGGAAACCAATACCAAATGAAGTAGAGGCATCGACAAAAACAGATAACGGGGGAGGGTCGGGAATCAGTAGACGAAGTGAGGCACTTTCTAGTCGAGTGTGAATGACTCGTCGAATACGATGATCTATGTCTGATATACTGGCACATTGCTGCAGCTCTGAAGAAAAGGTCATCATCTTCAAGTTGACAGATAAGTTATTCAGGACTTACACCGTATCTGTGTATCTGGGGTATCATCCAACTTGGAGAACATGATTTCGAAGACCTCTTCAGCTTCATTGCAGCGCACAGCGCCAAGAAGTGCTGCATTCTTTATTTTGTACCCTATGTGAGAAGAAGGTTTGAGTTTAATGACCTATGCAATTGGTAGAATAAGTACAACTGCTAGAGAAATAATAACTGACATCCTCACCCTGTTCACGTCGTGAAGAGCCATCACGAAGAAGTTGTGTTCCAAATTTGCTTCACTGTGGCGCACCAAGAGTGACTCGCACGAAGAGTCCAGCTCGATCCCCGCTGAATATAGTTCAATAGCCATTTTGTAATTTTTTGCAGCAACAGCCTCGTCTCCTTTTGCGATACAGCGCGCAGTGCAATCATCCTTGAATGCTAAACGATACCAGAATAAGTGTCGATGCTCAAGTCATCTGAGACTCAAAAGCACTGACCAGTACACCATTCGAGGCTGCCGTCCTTCACATCCTCATTGATCATAGACATCATATGATGGTGGGATTTGACAGCCTCAGTCACTCGATCAGCGCAGAGGTATGCTTTGCATCGCATTTGGTTGACGGTTTGCCATAATGTGTCTAAGTCCCATCCGAAGAGCTGTCCGGCATATCATCAATCAGTGGAAATGAGCTGTGATCTCATGGCGCACCACCGTGAATATCTTCAATTTAGGTTCAAAAAGTGCTCTGCTCGAGAACAAGTCCGTTAAACTGGGAATACTACAATCGAGTTGATCAGCGGCTTCACTGTACCGCCCATCCTGGAAAGCAACGGTTGCAAGCTGCACATGTAGATACGACTAACAGGTTTGGTTGAGAGTGAGAAATTTCAGGTCTGATACAAAGCTCACATTCGCAACGCTACACGGAATTGGATCTGAGTGTTGAGAAGCAGTCGTGAGGTCTTGAACTCGTCGCACTGCCTCATCGTGGCGACCGGAATAGAAAAGCGTAATAGCCTGGATAAAATGACATCGAAGTCTTGGTGCGACAAACATGACTGTTAGAACAGTGACTACAGTACCTTGATCAGTAGTAAAATATTGAGGATATTGGGATCGCTATTGGAAAACACAAAAGCGGAATCAAAAGCTTCCATCACATCCCAAAGTTGTTTGTTGCCGCAAAGGGTGATTCCCTTGGAAATGTAGCCCAGTAATGAGGGCTGGATAGCAATGGACTATGCGACAAAACTGAGTGACCTATCGTCGACGGCATCACGAGAGACGGAATGTCTGACCTTGACTGCGTCTTGAAGCGCATCGTCCCACTCGAACCTTCGCGCCCTTACAATTGAGCGATTGGCATACATATCGCATCTGTTGTCATCTTCGTCAAAATCGATTTCATGGGTCAAGAGGTCTTTGATGATATGAAGGTCCCAAGAATTGCGGACTGTCTTCTTTATAGCGAAGATCTACACAGAGCAAGCTCACGTTCAGTCGTGAACAAAGACAAATAGCTCACATCAAATAATAAGTCTTGGTTGTCACTAATACTGCTAAGGGCGTCGTGGAAGTCAGAGGAGTCGCATGTACTGTCCTGATCGACAGAGGGCTCTTTGTGATTGATATTATCGCAGGTATGCTGTTTTTTGCTGTCACAACAACTCTGTGAGTCAGCACGTAAAAAAATGTTATGAATAGAGAAGCACAACAATAACGTGCAAGAACGTGCCTGCATTTCGCTGCTGCAGAGTTGCTCTCCCTGTACTTCCTCGTCCTCTGTTGTGCTTTCCTCCGCTTTACCATGCTCCAGTATGTCCCTAACAGACCAAAGCAGAATATCTCCATCATTGGCTCCACTCCGAGTCACGAGTAGGCTAGTAGCTCTGCATTGGGAGAAATCGCAACAAAGTGAACTTTTTCGGTGTGTTCAAGTACATGTCCTATCTGCTTATGTGTCTTTGTGCACCATAGCCGCACAGTGCTGTCGCCCGATGCTGTGGCGATGAAGGAGTTATCTGAAGAGATGGCAAGACAGGTGATCCAGCAAGTGTGACCGATGCACGGTTGACCAATCTTTTCTCCACTAGACGAATCCCAGAACTTGGTTGTACTGTTGGATGTTACGGAGACAAGCTGGTTGCCGTCGGGCGACCACACAACACTTCGAACTGTCCATTGCAAGCTAGCGTTGATCTTGAGCAAACATTCGGCGTTAACGGTGCGCCACACCCGGATGGTATGGTCAGATGATCCGGATGCTAATTTTAGCCCATCCGGGCTAAATGACACACTCCACACGTGTACGCCGGTTTTGCCACCATTACGATGATCGAGCATTGCAAAGACTGCGCCAGTCTCCGCGTCCCATACAACAACCGTCGAATCATGCGAACCGCTTGCGATTCTCCTTCCATCCGGGGAGAAGCACACAGAGTTCACCTTCTCTGTATGCTTCACCAGCGGATTGAACACCATCCGTTTGCTCTCGGTATCCCAGATGATGACAGTGGCATCATCTCCACCGCTCGCAATTCGGCCGTCATCTGGAGATATGGCGACTGATCGCACACGGTCCGTATGCCCCTTGAATGGCCCTCCTACCATTTCTCCTATCTGCCGCACGTCTGAAATTCGCAGGGTTTTATCATGCGAACTGGTGACGACCCGCCGACCATCATTGAAGAATGCAACCGCCCATACTTTGTTCTTGCGCCGTCGCATCGCCCGCGTTGGCGCTGGCTGCCCTTGAAAAGTATCTCTTGCTGTATCAGATACTCCCGACATATTGTGTGACCTAGACAAAAAGGTCCGGGTCAGTTAGAATGAATTCAAATTAAAAAGGAGCGTACGTTTTGGTTATCGTTGTATTGTCGAACTCGTGTATAGTGAGTTGTTGGATTCTTTTCTGAGTCGCAACTCACGTCCCCGGTGCTTATGTAGGGTTCTTGATGGGTCCATACCACGCTGCTGCAGCATGGATCTCACGTCGCTTCTTCCATCATCACCTAGTGTGATATCCAATTTATTATACATTGAAATTACTGCAAAACAGGATACATCAATGTGATGAACTCGTTTGAGTCTACCGGGCAGTGATAATTTTCAGTATACCGTATTATTATGTACTGGTAGACCTCGAGGAAGATAGTCAGTGTGATATTAGAAACATGGAACTAAACAGTGAGTACTGTCTCTGTTCGTTGTATGCAAATCTGGGTGATCCATTGAATAGATGTAGCACTGTTGATCCAGTCGAGCCAAGTGACATCCCAAACCTAGTACAGGTACTTATCGGGCACCATTCAACAATCGTTTCAGGTGCCGAGCTTCAGAACTGGTCAATCACCGTGCTGAAAAATTACAGTCCCATACCATCCATCCGAACTATGGAGACTGAAGTCAACTTTCGAGGAAACATACTAGTATAAATAAAAGATCAAGCGGATTTCGAAGACCATTAATTTCTCCCATCACGTCTAGGATCGCTCCCTGTATTCAAAATCCTGAGCGGGCCCAATTCTGAACTCCTTGACGGTGTTTCCGTCAAGCTCGATCGGAGCTCACTTCAAGACGTTCTTTCTGCTCCAGGCTCGTTTCTATTATATAGCTTCCGCCCTATTTGGCAAAATGGACCAGATGCCGGCATTGAATGTATTGTGACGTCATGAAGATAGAAGTTGACAACGCAACGAACCTTTCAGATGAATGGTCGCCAAATGCGAGTTCCACTATGTGCATCTATTTGACAGCATGACTGAACGTGGTGTGGTCATACCCAACCCGTGGCGTGTCCTTTAATCTTGACAAAGCAAAACATACTGTTTAGTCCATTACAATCCAGGTCGCTCTTACTCGTGATGCAGACGAGGGTCTTGGTGACCAGACTATTGCCGTACCTTTCCACCTGGCAAAAAAAATCGTAAATTGGTGGCTCGTAATCGGGGAGCCGAGCACGAAACAGTTACTATCAAACAAGCGTGTCATTGTTAATGAAAGTCTCTGTGTGACACTAGAGTTCACACCACCGCAAGGGGGCTACGCTCTGAAACCCTCCTCACCTGCGGTTCATATGTTGGTGCAGATTATGGTCTAAGTTTCTTAATGATTGATGTTGTCAATGGTAGTGATAATTATGCGGAAATTTTACCTTCCTCGTACGGCTTTCTTGCTGGTTGTTTGTCACATGTCGTGTCTGATATTCACCTAGATATATACTGTATATTTCCGACAGCTAGAAATTATTGTCCTGCGAAGCTAACTATCTGTTATCAGGTATATCTTCACTGTACGCGCTCAGTGAACCTCGTCTTGAAGAATGTTGTTGTATACTCCTGAAGGCAGTAAAGAGTAAGTTATTAGTCATTCGCGTAGATGTATACACACCTCATCATGAGTTTGCTTCAAGCTCGGACGGTCCAGCATTCCTTGAGCGTATTTCCTGAATCTGGCAAATTTCGGTCCTTTTAACTCCTCCCCTAACTTATACCCCATTCCGACAGGGAATTTCCCTATTAGCAATTAATCAGATTCAACTTCTCGGGGAAAGGCATGAGTGGTTGCTCTACCTAGGTCAGTTTCGGTGATGATCTTGAGCCTTGCGAGACCCGGAGAAATGCATGCATCTGCGATGCTGTAGTGATCTCCGACCGCGAAATCTCTACCTTCTTCGAGAAGTCCTTGAATAAATTCAATCCCCTTCAGGACATTGTCATATGACTCCTGCCCTCGGATGAAATCGTATAATGGTGCTTCGACCTGTTTAGTAGTCACATCGACGAAGAAACGGACTTTTGCGCGCAGAACAGGATCCTTTGGCAGGAGGCCTGAGTCTGGATAAAGGTCCGCCAAGAACTCAAGGATGATGTTCGATTCCGCAATTTTGGCGGACAGGGGCGAAGGATCATCGGGCTCGACATTGGGTCCCCCATATGTTACAGCAGGCACCTATAGTTATGTCACATTCGTCTCCAATAGAAACAGGATATCATCACACATACCTTGCCGATTGGGTTCACTTTACTGGCGAACCACTCTGGTTTATTGGAGAGATCGACTTGGTAGGTTCTGTAGGGTGCATTGGCTTCTACAAGAGCCAGTTCGACCTATCAATTTGCGTCAGAGACTCGTCAGATGGTGTCAGCAGTCATTTCACCTTTGCGCTATAGGGCGAGAGCTGCAGAGTTATGGGTCAGACAAGTTTTCCGCTTTACTCTCCATTGTTCCTCACCTTGTGGAGGTACAAAGTCAGCTGCTCGGACATGATGACGACGATGACGACGATGACGACGACGACGATGATGATTTGAGTGATAACACTTCAACAGAGAAATGCTCAGGTTTATATACGAGCCAGGTAAAATTTTAGGCTCGGTCGGACATCGCATCACTTCCTGGTGAGCTGACTGCTGGAGTTATTCGTAATCAGGAAGGGGCAAGTGCGGGAATGAATCTTACTAATTGATAGACTAGTCAGACAATCATAATATCCCGATCGCTTGGTGAATGAGTCAGTTGCTGACTGAAATGTGGCATCCGCCTGCTAGTTATATATTAATATTACGGACTTTATCAACAACTGAGCTTACTACACAGACTACATGTGAGCAAGCAGGTAGCAGAAGATTCTAGAATTCGGCATCTGCCGTCTGCTGGCGGACTCTCAGGCACGCAGGATCGTCAAGTTTGACATTACATACCATGAGCCTGGGAGTCTGGGACGACTGGTCCAGCAACATTTGACTGATCCTATCAGTTTAGTGAGCAGCTCAGGTTCTGCCCAACGCCCCTCAATATTGGTTCTAGCAGAACACAGCTGTAATCTGCTATGCGACGCACGACAAAACAGCTTGTTTTGTTTATCATCATGATAAAGGGTGAAAAAATGAAGGCTTTGAAAAGCGTTGCGCGGATCGGACAGATTGGTTTCTGTTGCGTAGCGGTTAGTCGTCGCTATCATGCCTGTCAAGAAGGTGCTCAGCCTGACGAATACCGCAGAAACGAAGAACGACTTTCAACAGAGGTTACATCTGACGCTAAGTGACATTTACAAAGCACAGAAATGGCGAGTGCCTCTTACCACAGCACCTCCATCCACCAAACCAAGGGGACAGGATATCGACGCCTCCGTACAAATCCTGACACAGAACAAAACACAGATCCACCCAAAAAAAATTGAGATGAATTCATCCTTACCAGCAAGTTGAGTGTACCACAAAGTCTTAAGATGAAAAATGTCGGCGATGAAGAGAAATTACGCAGTTCTTTGATGTAATCTTTTTTTTGGCTGGGACCATGCAAAGATTCCGGAATCCGGATCCTCATTCCCTAATTACAACTCTCCAGTTCATATTTTTGCGTGATTAATGTCACTAGAGTCCTTACCTGATTTGTTCGTGAGTCCTCCTGACAGGTAGACGTTGCCAGAAAAACATTGTTTGCACGGTGGAGAGGTTGGATCGTTAGCCTTGGTATGATACTTGAGATCGCCACTGGGAGCCAAATTTAATGACAATTCTTGCATTGAGCTGTGCTACACGCAAACGTGATGCGCTGGTATGATCGTGGGCAGTAGAAAAGTTGTGTTTACACGCTATTTTTATATTTAATATTATTATTCAGAAAATTCTCCCAAAATGGAATGTAAGGGAGGAAATTGCGATTAAACTATCGCGTCTGCTTGCACCGAGCTTGACTCAAGCCCCAGACAAAGTAAGTGTATTCGATAGCCATCTGACCGTGCTTCCATTAAAAGTTACAGCAGCCAACAGTACTCGTGTGGTGCCTACGACTGATACGGAATCCGACTCTTACTTATGCGTTACGGATTGCCACGCTCAACTTCGCCATCTCCTGAACGGAGGTAGGTGCACAATGCATGCCGCGGCGAGCCAGGCTCATCCATTATCCATCAGATCTCGCAGACGTACCTCCACTTTCGGTCTCCCATCAGATACCGATAGCGATTTCGAAGGGCCACCGACAGATTCAGACTCAGAACTATCCTCCCCAAGCTCCCTTTCAGACTCATTCTGCTATGAGTCTGAATCACAAGTCCCACCACCGCCTCCGTGCGTGGATTATTACTATCATATTTATACTCGCACTCACTTACTTTACTTTTGCAGCCGCCCAAAGCGCGAGCCACGCAGTCCAACTGAACAACGCCATGCAGAGGACACAGTGGCTGCTATCCGCTTACGCACACGATACCACGATCCCTACGAAGAATGGGAGAAACAAACGCGTAAGGATGCATTCGTGCGTGCCTATTTGTTCTTTCTACGCAAATTACCCCCTGACAGTCTCTAATAGCACACAGCGCGCAGAGCACAAGTTCAGACGCGCTTAGAGACGCAAGGCCGGCGTACCCAGCGTAACACGCAGGAGCTGCAATCATTGGCAGCTATGCACGCACAGCAGCTCGTGGAAGTGCAGAAGCAGCTCGCAGCATTGCAGGTGCGGCAACAGACGGAGGTCAACAAGCTCGTAAGTAGCTGGCAGGAACAGGATAAGACATTTCGCAATAGGATAGAGGGTGTTATTCGCGTGGAAGAGGAGAAATTACGTGCCAAACTCGAAGCCGAACGCAAAGCGCGGGAAGAGGCCGAGAGAAAGCGGAAGGAGGAAGAAGAGAAACGCAAAGTGGAGGAACAGGCGAAGCGGAAAGAAGAGGAACAGGCGCAAAGGCAGCGGGAGGCAGAAGCGGCTGCAAAACACCAAGAAGAGGAGAAAGAGCGTTTGCGCAGGGAGAAGCTGGATGCTGAGGAACAGGGCAGGGCACAACTAGGGATGTCATTGGCCGAAGAAGATTGGGTACACGCTCGTGAAACTCTCAAGGTAAACCTGCTACTTCTGACCACGTACTGCGATACTAATACCTAATTCAGAATCTCAAAGCCGGGCCAATGAAGACAGTCAAGGGGAACCAGCCACTCAAATCCAAATGGAGCGCCATTCGCCGACAGATAACACCAAAGATCGGACAACTAACACACGATATCGATTCCGTCATGCGAATAGTAAGTTTATTTCCGCTATTATTCCATCACCTCACTCAAATTTCCAGACTCAACAACTCATAGATATTATTTGCCCGTCAGAACGACTTCCTTTAGACATCTACTTCGCCGCTCTATCCTCACTAGCAAAAGCCATCCTTCTCCAAGCCGAAACAGAGGTCACAGCTGAAAAACGAAGCGCTATACCCCTGGCCATGGTCGCCGCGAGACTGCTAGGCACGTTGGAAGGCTTTCCGGATATTTTCTTCGCGAAGCTCGTGCAGCGGTGCGGTGGGTGGCCTGTTCCGTCAGCAATCCCTTCCACAGATTCAGACGGTACTGCGTGGAACGAACTAGAGCGCATCAAGGCGATGGGATACCGCACGAATGATGGTCAGAGAGAGACCTTGTCCGATCATATTATGCGCGTGTCTGGGATGATGCGTGTATATTTCTTGATTCTAGCTGCACCTGTGCCGCAGCCATTGGATAAAATGTTCCAGTTACCACGTTTCTGGACGTATTTCGCGAGGATGATTGGGGATGAGAGATTACTAGAGACGGCAGTAGCCGCACAGGTACTTCATGGTGCGTTTTTTGCAATTGGGTGCTTCCCAGGCTCTCACTCCTAAACTCCGTAGCTGCGCTTGACGTTGGAGGCATGGAGGCGAAGTTCATTTGGGGTAGTCAGTGGGTGAAGATGCTGGAGTTGCTTTACGAGGGTGCAACGACTGGTATCGGCGGAGTTGCAGGGAAGCTGCTCGGTGGTCAAACCCCCGAGGGAAAGGCTGCGCGCGTGCGCGTACAACTTCAGATAGAACGCATCATGGATACCACGAGCTTGCGATGAGGCTTTCAGGCATTCTTCCACCCAATCACCATCTATTCGTTCACCACGTATGATATTTTGGAAGCACATGCATTTTTGTACAGTAGCAATTACATAGCATTTTACAACGCTAGTCAAACTCTGTGATGTAATAAACGCACGCCAACACCGACAGGGCCGGTGCCACCGATTCGTGCACTACAGCGCAAGCGTTCCGGGCGATCGGTGAGTGCCCAGTTGCCTACAGATTCTCCTAGACTCGCAACTATTCCTTACAGGCACGATTATTTTGTTTGGGTAGGTAGTGATTACCATCCGTGCCAAAATAAACTGGCTGGGTACGAGACTAAGATTCTCCGAATCTCCAATCGACATCGGATCACTGTGCCCGGGACCGCGTCCAAGTTATTCGAAGAGATATTGTATTTCAGTCTCAGGACTTCTTCAAATCGCTAAGCCGTGAAAGACGAATGTCATGAACTGCGGAAGTTGAACGTGTGGATCGGGGGTGTCAAATGTGTACCTGGAATCTGACTTCCGATCATGGAAGACCTCTTGCTTAAGTGGACTGGCGGTTTGGATGTTGTTTGATCTTAGAAGCGAGTGCGGCTGGGAGCTGAGAACGAACCAGACTTGGTTGGACAGTGGTCGATGAATTGGATGGTACGTTCGGTGGCGGCATCCAACGTCTGTGAATCTCTTTTCTCCCCCTCTCATGCCTATCAGGAGGAATAGGAGTGATTTTTTGAGATGATACCGCGGCGGCGTATGTCGAGAACGAGGGGCGGGCAAGGCTAGGAGCTGGGGACCAACCAAAGTAGGATGAATAGTTGACAGTTTTACCTGTCCGTTCGTTGGATGTGTTTGGTGGTGGCATCCGACGTTCGCGAAACCGTCCTCGCTCCCACCCGTCCCCATCTTGCTGAACAGGAGTGACTGTTTGAGGCAACTTGGTGGCACCGTTTGTCGAGAACGATGTGCGAGCACGACCAGGAGGTGGGAACGAAGCAAAGTTGGGTGCATAGTTGACAGGTTTGCCTGTCGGTGGGTTGGCCATTGCATCTGATGATGGTATCCAACGTTCGTAAATCGGTTCTTGCCTCCGCCTATCCTCATCTGACTCAGACCCATCCTCATCTAGCTCAGACCCGTCCTCATCTAGCTCCAACTCGTTCTCATCTGACTCCCACTCGTCCTCATCTGACTCCCACTCGTCGTCCAGCCCCCACACGCCATCATCTGGCTGAATGGGTGTGGTCGTTTGAGGTAACGTCGCAGCGGCCTTTGGGTGGTGGGTGGTTTTACCTGTTGGCAGGGTGTACGTCACGTCTGGCGCCGGCAACCATCGTTCGTAAATCATTTCTCGTGGCCTCTCCTGGTCATCGGAGCTTGGTCGATTGATAATTTGAGGGGGCATCGTAGACTGTCTTGAGGGTGATACGGAGATAGTCCGTGGTCTTGAGAGGGGAATTGGGGACGTAGCACGTAAGCGAGACGACAGCATCGACGCTTTCGTTGAAGTCTGAGACCTAATTGATGGTGCCGTCGTGCGTGTGGGGGTCGTTGGTTTTTGGAGTCCAGCAGCAGAAGCGGAGGCACTTCGAGAACGAAGAGATGCGAAGCGCGGCAGCATGGGGGGGATAGCTGGTTCTTTGCACGAGGATGCTGCAAATGAAGAAACTGTTTGGTGACGTTCACTTGATCTAGTTGAAGCGGCAGTGCTGGGGCGGGCAGGTAAATTTGCAGCCCGAGAGTGAGCGGACTTAAGGGTACAACGGGTAAGCTCTGCTCGAAGAGCTTGGCACTCTTGCACTTTTTGGGTATAGAGTGCTTGCTTAAACAAAAAGAAACATAGTGAGCGACGTGAATAACATTCCTCAAGCCACAACATACTTGTCTAGAAGAGCACGTCAGTCAAAATCAAAGTACTATCATAATGGTGCACTTCAAGGTTACGTACTGCTTTAGGTCGGTTTCTAACTTGCTGACCTTCAGTTCCATGTCGTCTAGCTTCCCTTTTAGGATGGCCTCAACTCCCTTTGCCGTTTTCGTAGCTTCCAAACGAGCGATGTGATTCATCGAAATGGTCCTAAGCAGCACAGCACTCGATGATAATGAATATGACTGCACTCGATGTTAGCGGAACCGCAAACACTTGAATTGTCAGAAAAAAACATTACCTGGACATTGGAATATTCGCCATTAGTCAACCACTCTTCTACCTCCTTGTAAAGAGTCGAAACTTCTTCCACTGAACATTCTCTTGCGACTACCTTGGCCACCTTATCCTCCAATCTACGAGCCTCTACGCGTATACGCAAGAAACTCGGCTCGACTGAGGGAGACAGATCTTCCTCTCGTGATGGGGAACGGCGGTGAAGAGCCTCGTTGAGGTCACCTCGCCACCGAGGAGTATCCCGTCCGCTTCCTGGAAAGTTTATGTGTAGCAAATGCACATCACCACCAATGAAATGCTCGGAACAGAAAGGGCAGGCAGCTCGGAGACGAGGCGATGTCTTTTGTACAATTTTATTACAGCAACTCCAGCAGAAAATGTGACCTAAAAACTTGCAGCGTTAGAAGTTTGATGACTGCAGATTCTTTTTGAGAGCTCACCGCATGGAATGGAATTAGGAACACAATGCGGATTGTACTCTTCTGCGCACACATCGCAAACCGAACCAGGACTAAGCGTGAGCATGATCAAGGTCAACCCTATGAAACCCTTGCCAGGTTTGCCAGACAGAAAGCTATTGACGAGGAATAGTGCCTATCGTGGTGGATAAATGATAGCATGAAGTGAAAAATCTCGCTATCATGGCACCTGACAGCAATTACAAAATATAGTACACTGCACGCACAGCAACTCGAGTCACTCGACCAGCTCGGCGTCGGACTTCACATACAACTTACCTAATAGAGGCTTGTGATGCTTAGTACCCGGCCGCCGACGCTCGCAGAGCGGTATGTTGTGCGGACTACTCAATAATGTCAAGGAGTCTAGGTTAGACAGTAAGGACATTGAGACTTGAAACCCTCTGTCCGAACAGGCCATGACGATGACTCCAGCACTGAACGACTCGTAAAGTCGGCATTTCCGTTTTGCTGTCGTACAAGTTTGTAGTATGGCTGCAACCAGTTAACCCTTGTCGTTGAGTTGTCGTCAAGCTGTCCTAGATGAGACAAAAAAATGAGATTCTGGCGAGAACGAAGTAATGTATATGGATCGAAACTAACGGCGAGGAGCACTGCAACTTTTACCAACTTATGTAAAGAATTGACGTATTAATCGAAATCGTTCAGGGAGAAAGATAAAGCTAAAGGCCCAGCCAAACTCCGCCACTATTATTAGTTGCGCTAACACGCCTGAAAGGTGCGGAGATCTGTAGGACTGAAACCGAATACGCATACATAGTGATTGAGACATCATCTGACAGTCTAATTGTTTGGCGGTCTCTGGCTATAAAATCAAACCCAATCGTAAATTCTGCCTGAGGAAAAATCCTCAAACCGCCGACTTATAATCAGGAACAATCGCAAACTTACCAGGGGGGCAGCGATAGAAGAAGGTAAATGAAGTCCGCGCCGTAGCAGCATGCACTGAGCCAACAAAACCTTGTATAAGCGCCTTCATGAGTTGGGAACTGCTTACCACACACACAGGATCCACGCCGTAATACATCCCCAAAGTATGCTGCTCTCGTCAACTGGAGATGCTACTGATCATCTTGTTCCCTGCATAGGTTAACGCGACATGTTACTAGGAGTGTCTCAAGAAGCGCACCCCACCGCAAGAGTATCCGCGGATCGGATGGTGCAAGAACGATCGGCGCCTACGCGGACGATGCGAAGCCACACTGATTCATTGTTGGCGGTTGCGTTCTTCAAAGACGGCCGACGAGTCGTTACCGCTTCACACGACAAAACCTTGCGAATTTGTGACATGCAGAGAGGATCACTGGTAGGAGGGCCATTCGAGGGTCACAAGGACTATGTGCGATCGGTCGCAGTATCGCCAGACGACAAGCAAATTGCGAGCAGCGGAGATGATAAAGCCATCATCGTCTGGGATGTTGAGAGCAAACAGATGATATTCGATCCACTGGAGAAGCATACAGGCTGGGTGTTGTCGGTGTGTTTCTCACCTGATGGAAAGAGACTCGCCAGCGGATCGCACGATAAAACAATTGTTGTATGGGATGCCAAGACTGGCGCTATCCTTGCAACAATTGACGGTCATAATAATTCGGTCTGGAGTGTTGCATTCAGCCCAGATGGGCTAAAACTAGCCTCCGGGTCAGCGGACCATTCCATCCGGATTTGGCGCTCCGACAATGCCGAGCTTCTTCTCAAAATCGACGCTCACCAACATTGGATTCGAAGCGTCGTGTGGTCGCCTGACGGTCAGCAACTTGTTTCTGCGTCGTTCGACAAAACAGTCAGATTTTGGAGCTCAGATGACGGAGCCCAGATCGGTCAACCTTGCACTGGTTACGCTTACCACTCGCTCGCCATATCTTCTGACGGCTCCTTCATTGCCACTGCCTCGGATGACAAGACTTTACGGCTTTGGAGCACAAAGACACACAAGTTGATAGGACAGGTACTCGAGCACGCTGCCTGGGTTCGCTGTGTTGCGATTTCTCCCAATGGAGAGGTGCTTGTGAGTGGTGATGGTGAAGGGAAGGTGCTGCTCTGCTCTATCAAGAATATACTTGAGCAATACAATGCAGAGGAAGGGATATTGGAAAATGAAGAAGCACGGCAACAACAACTCCCATTCAGTGAGGCTCAGGTATGCTTATGCCCATAATTGTTTCGCTCTTCCATTCATCTACATTATTCGGCGTGGTGGCGAATAGCTGCGCAGTTACGAGAGAAATGAAGAGTTCCTTGGCAATCACGGCAGTCCGAGTAATCATTCCTCGGAAATTGACGAAGACTCTGACATTGACGACGTACACTCATTATTTGACGTGAGCTGTTTGCCTTCCATGCGTTCACTTATGACGGAATGTGAACTTACTTTGCACAGATCTTTACTATACAGGCGACGCTCCGCGATGCATCCATTACTGGTATCCTGGATACCGCTGAAGAGCTGCTCACCCAAGAGATTGACGCGGATGATAACAACTACGAATCCTATGCTAATCGCTCAATTGTAAGGGCACGACGTGCCGAGTGGAAGTATGCACTTCAAGACGCAGTCAAGGTCAGATAGTCTACTTATGAAGCCACTGACGACAGGTTGACTCAGCTTTATCTCACAGTCAATTGCGATCCAGCCTTCCTTATTGGGCTACATTTCCAAGGCCATCGCCCTCTGCGGCAATGGGCAGCTCTGGGGCGCAATGGAAGCTTTCGACCTCGCTTTCATATTTTGCAATCGTGATCCGATTATGGTCGATCTCTTACTATTGATCAAGGTATTTTTATCGCTGTTTCCATAGTTTTTTAGTCATACTAAAACTTTAATGTGATTTTGTCCAGGCTGTCTCACTTTTCAATGCTAATTATCACGATGAGGCGATGCGGCGAATTAAAGACCTGACTACTACTTATCAACACCGAAATAGATTTCCATGCAACGTTATTAATGTAGGTTTGATATTAAACCTTGCAAGTTTTCTCACTTTGAGACTCTCCAGTCATATTTACGTGCGCAGCTTGCGATAATTGATTTGAAGAATGGGCAGTACAGCGAAGCCGCTGATCAATTCACGGCCAGTATTACTGGTTTGTTCTTACACCCGACACTTTTAGAACCTAGATTGAAGATATTCACGGTGGTGCGTCACTGCGAAGCTGTCGAGGACACTTTTGATTGATCAAGCGCACTACACAGCTTTTCGGTTGGGATTTAGATTCGTTATGGGAAACTATCAGCCAAAGACAGTGTGATGCGTTCCTCCTCGCTGGTCGGGTGATCGAAGCAGTCGAATCTTTTCAATATATGATGAACATGGTTAACGAAGCTGGGAAGGGCAGCCGCATCGAATGGTCTACCAGTAAGTGTTTTAAGGTAAAACAAAACGAACATTGATACTCATAGTGGTACTGATCAGCCTTCAAGCTAGACTGCACTGCGCACTGCATCGCAAAGGCACACGAGGCTGTTACTGCGAGCAATTATGAGATGGCTGTTTCATTGTATACGGCCGCGATTGCGCTAGATTCTACGAGGACGTCCCTCTTTGCGCACCGCAGTAAGGTAAATTTAGAACTAAAACTCTATGCAGAAGCCCTTCAGGATGCGGAAAAGGTGTGGATGATTCCATTGTTGTTCTAGTAATTGTGCTAATACCACCGATGTGCAGGTCATTGAACTCGACCCGTCGTCATATCTTGGTTACGAAATGAAACACGTAGCACTCTACGAGGCCCAACATTATGGCGAAGCAATTGAGGCCTTTGAGATGATGCTCTCCAAGTTGGACTACGGTCCCGATACTCAGAAACAAGGCAAGCCCCACATTACTCACGTGTCAATGGGAAGATCATTAACTTGTTTTCCAGAGCTGCGTTGGCAATATATCAGTCCATCTGAAGCAAAGGAAGCCATTCGACAAGCCGTCCACGTTCGACTTGAAAATGCTCCACTTCGTCTACTCAACACCTCTACTGGGCGTTTATGCAACCTAGAGACGCAGACACACACTTTCATGGAAAGCACAGAATACAAGCAGCTTTTATATTCATTGATGATCCGTGCTCCCCTTCAAACGGAGCACATCACAGAAGCGGTCAGGAAGTACTTCAGTCGGGTCATGTTATCGCACAGGTGGGAACAGAAGGAGCCACTGCTGCACGACATCCAGGACAAGGTCGTGTATGATTTGAATCCTGTCGGAGCCATGGTCAAGTTGCAGACATTCTGCAAAACTGCTCGTGATGCGGGGTATCGCTGGGCGTGGAGCGATACCTGCTGCATCGACCAGAATAACAATGTTGAGCTTCAACGATCGGTGAACTCTATGTTTGTTTGGTATCGTCAGTCAGCTCTTACGATCGTCTATCTGTCGGACGTCCCGTCCTCAGCGAAGTCTGGCGCACTGGCAAAGAGCGCTTGGAACACACGAGGATGGACTATCCAGGAATTCTTGGCTTCCGTAGTTGTTCTCTTCTACCGAGCAGACTGGACTCTATATCTCGACGACCACTCTCCTAACCACAAGAAGTCTGCCACTATCATGCAAGAGCTGCAGATTTCAACGGGCATAGATGCATCGTCCCTTATCACCTTCCGTTCGGGCATGAGAGGCGCGCGCGAGAAACTCCAATGGGCCTCAAGCCGTGTGACTACATTACAGGAAGACATCGCATACTCATTGTTTGGTATCTTCGGCATCCACCTACCCATCATCTACGGCGAAACGAAACAAAATGCGCTCGGGCGGCTCATACAGGAGATCGTCGCCCAGTCGGGCGACATTACCGCCCTGGACTGGATCGGGAAATCATCCCAGTTCAACAGCTGTCTCCCAGCTGATATTACCTCGTATAAAGCCCCGCCATGCATGTTGACATCTTTACCGGAAGATGAGATGCAGATGTCCGTCTCCAGGTTGCAAGATGTTGTCCCTGTGGAGTCAGCTACGGCACTCTATACCCTCCTTGACAACCTCAGCGCTCCTCGTTTCGCGAACTCCAGACTGCAGTTGCCTTGCATCGCATTCCCTGTCACAGAAGTCAAAAGGAGTGGCAGTCAACATCAGGGAACATGTTTCACTTATTATGTGAAGGCAGACGGGCTTCAAGACCTTGTGATCACCACAGAGGAAAGACTGATCCAATTCTCGCGGGCAAGGCCCATTCAGAAGTCATTCATGCTCGTCCGCCCGTGGAATCGTTATGACCCCGGGCTACTTGACTTTGAGGATGATATGTCCATCAAAACAATGTCTATGCCCTGGTCAATGTCAGATCGTTCACTGAGCGGCTCTCCTGACAATTATGAAGAAAGTGTTGATTCACAGTTGCCCTTACGAGCGTTACGATTGACGGTTCGTCTTGGGCAGGCTTTTGGCGCATTTTTGCTAGCGCAACAGCGTGGTGGGGAGTACAAGAGAATCGCTTCGGATCACAATATCATGGCACGGGTCAAGGACATAACTGCTGTTGATGACATGAACATCAGAACGCTAGAGATATTGTAGCTAGTGCACGGATTTCGAAGTCTGTATACGTATGACAATGACAACTATGATCGTATGAGACACCGAGGCGTTGTTTGGTGTTTGTTTGTCCCTGATGCTCCCAATACCATGATTTGTTTGTATCCTTGTCGCTCCCACCCGGGGCCCACAGGTCCCGCTCATTCATCATCGATTGATCATCCTTGCAAATGCTCATGTCAACTTTTCGCAATTAGCTCTGATGCGAGTTCGAGGACTGAAGGCCGCAAGATCCGTCGCAGGCTCTGACGTCAGTGGGAAGAATTTCGTTGACAATATTAGCACATATACGCACAGATACCCTTCCCTGCAAGCTGGGTTAACCGATCAGTACCCTCATGACTGGCAGAGGACGTCATTCTAGGAGCCGGCACGTTTGCAAATAGTCTGCTGACTGATCCAGGGCCCCATACAGTAGAGCTGGGGCTGGCTGCTTCTGCCTTTTTGGATTTTTTTTGTAAGCAGGGAGAGCAGCCCTCATACAGCCCTTCGGTGCTCTTTTACTAGCGCAGCACCGTGGGGTGGAGTACAAGAGGATCACACTGATATCGCACGAGTGGGGATAGGAATCGTGTTCATGGCACGATGAACGCTAGGACATCACATTGTAATCGCATGCATTTCGAAGATATCGAATCTAACACGTTTTCATTCATACCCAGCATGAATTGATATATGTACCATACTGCGTGCTAACTTACAACAGGAAAGCAAGCCACCATGACTGTGTCATTGAATCGTTGCTGAGGGCAACACCAACAAGACGTTGTCTACCCCCATCGCCCCAGTTCACTTATCATGCGCACGTCGATCATGGTGCGTCCTCGTCAATTGTCAGTGGGTTTACTCAGCTTCTATCCCTCCAGGAAGGTCATGCTCGTTCACCTTTAGAAATCCGCAGCAAGTGTGTGCATCGATGGCTGCGAGATCCTTTGCACCTTCTGACGTCAGGTTGTCGACAGTAGCACGTATGCTACCGAGCTCTTGGCATCTGAGGCCGAGTTACCCCATGGAGCAGAGGGCGCAGTGTCATCGAAGTATTTTTACTAGCATTCCTCAACATCCGATATTCTATTGCGCCGGTCATGGATACTCAATATGTGCCTGAGGACCAGGAAGGGCGCAGCTCATCAGTGGCAAATTCTCAAGTTGAGCCGGAATGTATTTGACTTGTCGGGTCAACGCTACTCCGGTTGAAATTATCTGCAAAACGTCAGTGTCTGGATCCAGCGACAATATGACGACCAGCAAGGCTATGGATTTCGGCCGCCGTCATCATTTTTCGCCCCAGGTAACAGAGGTGGACGCCCTTGAATACTTGCTAGGCGGAAATGCTACTTCTCATGCGACACAATGCAATACCAATACCTGATCCAGAATTTGAAAGCCAGGTCAGTGGTAAAGAAGGGGGAGCAACTCAAATCCCAATGGAGCGCCATTCGCCAACAGATAACACCAAAAATCGGGGAACCATGTAATTGTAAATAAAAGGCATCAACTCCGTCATGTGAACAGTAAGTTCATTTCCGCTATTAATCCGTCACCTCGAATTAAAGTTTGCGGTCCAACAAATCGTAGATATCATTTGTCGGTCAGAACGACTTCCTTTCTCAGAGAGGCCCGCTGACTGTACCGTACATTGTAAGACTAGACTTATTTTCTGTTGCTACACAATTTTATCGCCTTTCCAAAAATAAAAAACAAAGAAGTTGAATTTCCTCTAGATATCTATTGTGTCGTTAGTAAAAGCCGCCCACCTTCAAGCCGAAACAAAGTTCACCGCCGAAGAATGAAGCGTTACACATATGTACTTCTTGCCCCTGGTCGGTCGAGACTGCTAGGCACGCTGGAAGGCTTTTCGAATATCCTCTTCGCGAAGCTCGCAATGAAGCGGTCCGGTGAGTGGCCCGTGCCGTCATCATATGTTCCTTCCACGGATCCAAGCGGTACTTGCGTGGAACGACAAAGAGCACACCAAGAGATGGGATACAAAACTAATAATGGCCAGAGGTCGACGTCATGCGCGTATCAGGAATGATAACGATGCGTGTTTATTATCCACGTCCGTGCCGCAGCCATATGTTGGATAAGATAAGTCCCACTTGCCGCGTTTTCTGGATGTATTTCGCGAGCATGATTGGGGACGGGAGATTACTGGAGTCGGCAGTACTAGCCGCGCAGGTCCTTCATGATGCCTTTCTTTTTCCAATTGGGTGCTTCCCAGGTTCTCTCACTCCTAAACTCCGTAGCTGCACTTGATGTTGGAGGCGCGGAGGCGAAGTTCATTTGGGGTAGTCAGTCACTGTGGGTGAAGTACTGCAGTTGCTTTCCGAGGGCACAATGACAGGTGTTGTAGGGAAGCTGGTCGTTGCGTGAACCCCTGAAGGAAAGGTTGCACGCGTGCGCGAACAACTTCAGATAGAACGCATCATGGATGCCACGAGCTTGCGATGAGGCTTTCAGGGATCTTTCCACCCAATCACCTATCTATTCGTTCTCCACGTATAATATTCTGGAAGCACATATATTCATGTACAGTGGAATCAACCTATACATAGCATTCTATAGAGCTGTTATATGATGGATCGCTATCCTTGTGATTGAGATCATGCCCCGGAGATGAAGCATGGGTGGGGTAAGATATTAAGTTTCGTGATGTGGTAAGTACTTAGTAGTGCACGATGATGCTGCCCCACCTTGTTGTGAAATCAGGCCGCACCTAGACCTGGGGATGAACAACATAAAGTTAACTTCAGCGTGTAAATCTGCGATAGACGCTCGCCAGGGGGGCTAAACAATGCCCCCGTATGGTGTTGGCGAAAGAGGTCACCCTCGGTATAAAACGTGCGACCCGCCGATAGGTCGCTAGATCTCCTTAATTGACGATGGGAAGAGTGATGACCGTTCTGCTCATGGCATCACGTTCAGTTTACTTCGAAGAAAGTGTGAATTAGGAGAAGGACTCCAATACCTTGATCGGGGGGTACCAGGAGACGTGCTAATCGAAGGGCAGAGCAAACTCCGTAACGTGCGATCCCGTGTGCGTTTGTAAATACCTGTTATTAGTGCACACCAGCTTACTATAGCGATGATCGGGCTGCGCCGATGGCAGTTTGTCGAGGGAATGAGTCAATACCGCAGCCGCTGGATCCGCCAGGCACTGCGAAAGACTGCAGAGCATTGCAAGCGCTCCGGGCGATCTGTGCGCGGGTACGTAGTTAGTTTCTTACAGATCCTCCGAATCGATATCGGATCAGTGTGCCTGGGACCGAGTCAGAGCTGTGCAACAACGAGATCTCGTGTTTCAGCCTCGTTATATCTTCTTGACAACGCCGGATCGCGGAAGACGGGACCTTGACCAACGAATGGCACACCTTCGTCCCGCCACAAGCTCCACGATGAGATTGTGATAACTTTAAAAAACGCTTCAGAGAATGACAGCATGGCCTAGGGCGTGTTCGAAGAAGAGCCTGCTATCCACTATCCGAATCCGATAATCGATGGTCGGCAAGAAAGGAAACATATCGCAAGTCGAACGTGTGCGTGTGTACAGAGGATGATTGTCGTGTAATAATCAGTCGATTTTTGGCCTTTCGATACTTTATTCCGAAATTTGCGACAAACCTGTAAGGTCCGGCGTGTCAAGCATGTACCGAGAGACATCTTCCGACTTCCGATAACGGTGGATAGTCTCGTGAACAGCTCGTGAGATGGCTAGATGTGGGCAACTTTGCTTTGCTGCCATTTGGGAGTTTGGCCATTGTCTTGCTCCGTCCGAGGCCAGGAAGGATACCATCTACGGCCGCTGATGGTTGATGGTTATGGAAGAGCACAGCGAAGTGCGCCACCTGATCAAGCGAAACTACCCATGAATACATCAAGCGGAGTCATATGTGGGCCTGGATTGTGGGTATTTGCGCTGCGGCGTAACACAGGCGGGAATAAGCATCAGTCATACACATTGATGAGCGGGTGAATCCCGCCGTGGCGGGAACACGTGTTTCGCACACCAGAAATGTTATATGACCTGAAATGGGTAAAAGTGTGAGATATAAACGGTTCCGACTGATATTTTTGCCAATAGCTAGGCGGTATTGGCACAAAAAGGCTGTGAGTTCCTTCGGCAAGTTTCGTACGATAACCTTGGCTGTTCTTCTAGTCGAGTCATGCTTTGAAAGCCACCAGGACAAAGGGCGAAATACCCTAAGCCCTAACCCTAAATTAGAACTTGTCCATTGCATAATGGAAGCACAATTATTATTCATCCAAAATTTGTGATTTGTGATCCTGAAAGAAATATCCAGAACATGAGGAGGCTCTCTAGAAAATGTCATGGAACCTGCAGATGCACCTTGTAGATGAAATTAAGATTTTATGAAGACAGCGTGTTTAGTGATTATGGCTAGATGGCAGAAGAAATATGATTTGTTTGGCCGTAAGCCATGCGTGCAGTGCATTGTTTGGCTACTTTTGGTGACTTGCCGTCATTCTGAGATTTTTCACTTCATGCTATTTATCCACCACCAGGTCAAGCGATACCCCTTGTCAATAGCTTTCTAACTAGCAAACCTGGCAAGGGTTTTATCGTCTTGACCTCATGCTCACGCTTAGTCCTGGTTCAGTCTGCGATGTGTGCGCAGAAGAGTACGGTCCGCACTGTGTTCCTCACTCAATTCCTTGCGGTGAGCTCTCAATCTTTTGATGATGTGGGAATTTTTTTTAATTCGAGTCACAAATCTTTCTATCCCGCAGGTCATGTCCTCTGCTCTAGTTGCTGCCATAAAATCGTAGAAAAGACATTGCCTCGTCTTCAGCCCGTCTGTCCGTTCTGTCGGGATCATTTCACTAGCGAGGATGTGCGTTTGATCCGCATCGACTTCTCCGCAAGTGGATGGGCCACCAACCGGCGGCGAGGTGGCCTCACTGAGGCTCTTGACATTGCTGACCGCTCCGCGCCACGACGGGAAGATCGTTTTCCCTTCGTTGAGCCGGGCTCCTCGCGTACCCGCGCAGAAGCCCGTAGGCTGGAGGATAAAGTAGCCAAAGTAGCTGCTAAAAAATGCTCAGTGGAAGAGGTTTCGACTCTACACAACGAGCTACAAGATTGGTTGACTCATGACGAGAAATCTAACGACCAGGTAAATTTTTTCATTACTACTCGATGTTTGTCATCCGGCTGACTTTGCGTACAGTTGAACTCTTCTTTATCCTTGAGTGCTGCGCTGCTCAGGGCGATTTTGATGAATCATTTCGCTCATTCGGAAGCCACCAAATTGGCAAAGGGAGTCGAGGCCACCCTAAAAGGGAAGCTAGACGACGCAGAATCATCTGTCATCAAGCTAGAAGCCGATCTAAAGCAGTACGTAAATTTTTGATATATACGTTTTTGCTTTGCTGACTATTCTTCTAGACAAGTACGTTATAGTTTCAAGGATGTTTTACGCCGCTCATCTTGTCTTCTTTTGTTATAGCAAGCCCTTCACAACCAAAAAGTACAAGAATGCCAGGCTCTTCGAGCAGAGCTTAGCCGTTTCACTCTTAAGTCCGCTTCATCTCAAGCCACAACGTCACCTGTCCGTCCCAGCACCGCCGCTCCAACTGGATTAAGCGAGCGGCGTCAATCGGTTTCCTCATCCGCGGCATCTACGTACAACGTACCAGCTATGCCATCCATGCTTTCGCGCTTCGCGGCTACTCATTCTCGAAGTACCTCTGCATCTGTGTCAGGAGGGTCAAGACCGACGACCCCCGCACGGATGACGACACCATCGATTAGGTCTGAGACCCCAACCCAAGCGTCGATGCTGTCGGCGTCTCGGTTACGTGCTACGTCTCCAATCCCCCCTTCCAGACCGCGGACTATCTCAGTCTCCGCGTCGTCGCCCCAAAAAATAACTCGTTCGCACTCCGATGAGCAGGAGAGGGAACGAGAACGGATTCACGAACGTTGGATGCCGTCGCCGAATGTGGCATACAGCCCGCCGACTGGCAAAACTATCAACTATCCACCCTATTTTGGTTCGTCTGCAGCTCCAGGCCGTGCCCGCTCCTCGTTCTCAACAAACGCTGCTTAAAAATTTTCATTTCATTTTCATTTTCCTTTTTGGATTTGTCTTTGCTTGGTTTCAGTCTAGCGGTCCCAGGACTACTACTCTACTTGTCTCATATTGCTATCTGTCGCCTAGTTCTCGTATCCATCTGACTGGTCTCTTTCCATTTCTCTCGCATCTTTGTCATCTGCATCTCATCATTGGCGCTGCTCCTTAAAACTAATGCTTTATTTCTTTGTATCCTATCCAATTCGCTTTCTTGATAGCATTTGGCTTTGGCAGGATTTCTCAGCCATACCCGTTTCCGTTCGTGTTACTTATTTCCTTTGAACATTTCATCCTTAATTAAGGGGCGCGTTTTTATGTGCGTTTGATTGCACAGCATACACTCCCCGTAGCATTGCGTCGTTCCGCTTTCATTGTCATTAGCGTTCCTTGCTCTCGCTTATCCCTTTGTCCCGCTTCCATTCCATCTGCTCCTCATCGATTCCCCCTTGATTCCAGAACTTGTCCGTTGAACCTTCTCCGTATCCCCTTTCCCCCCTGCCATTCCCAGCCGTCGTGCTTTCAGATATACCGTCCGTCTCGCTATCGGTTAGTTGCTTCTTACGATAAGTTTGCGAATTTTAGTTTTCGCAGACTCCCTTACGGGTTTTGATGATTCTCAGTACTTACACAGTAGTAGTACATGATTTTTGTGACGTTTTACCTAGTACATTTGAATGACAACTTTAGCGTTCTCATTTACACTGCGGTCGTTGATTTGAGATTGGAATTGCATAATGTTCGATCGAAATGTGAAACTCAAAACGCTTCAACCGTTCCAACGTTCAGACGAGTTCTCCGCGGATAAGTCAAAGTGTTTCAAAGCAGTGTGCACGTAAACTTGGGGTTGTGCAAAGCCCCATAAGTCCATGGTTATAATCACATGCTCTGACTCGAGTCGCGGACGCCGCGTATCTTTGGGGTACCACAGCTTTCCATTTCTCCGTGAGCTAAACGCTTATCATCCTGCGAATTCCAGTCCGTTCACGACTTCCAACGCGCGGACATTTGTTTTCGAACAATATCAATATTCGAGTCCCTGAACTGTTGCAGCGTGTAAAACACGCTGCCTTCCGAAAGAGGTACAGCGCCGATGCAACGAGGCTACGAGGCTTGCGCATCATCGGCCTAACTGCGCATGGGCATAACACAAAGGGCCACAAATCCAGCTGAATTTCTCGTCGGATATTACGCGATAGATTTTTCGATGGTTAAGCGTGAACGTAAACTCAAAACGGAGAGGTTGCAACGTTGCAAACGCATGCGTAGGGTAGGCGAACCTTGCAAGTTACGGACTTGGCGTTATCATGCCATGTTCTCCGCCGCGTATCGTATCGTATGTGCTTGGATTCGGTTTGTGACGTGAGGCCCTGAAACGCGATTTGTGGATGGTGCGGATGACTCGGATAGGGGACACGTAAATTGACTGATTGGTGTTTGGTTCCTTTGGCTTTTCCTTTTGCAAGGCTTGTCGATCGACGATCGACCTGATTGTAATTGGGCCCACGGTGCTGATGAGCATAGGAGGTGTTGAGGGAGAGTGTGCTCTGGCGAAGCGTTCTTGGAACCCTAATACGAGGAAACAACTATCTTCTTTCGATAGGCTGACCAATATCGTGCGTGAGTCTGCTTCTATCTCTTGTTGTGTGTCGAATATATATTTGGCCGTGCTCGATTAGGACATCAAGTCGCCGTGCTCGTCGTATCGCAATCACTGCCAGCAGATATCAGAGCCGAATCGTCCAGTATATCATTCCATAGCTTATTGATACATAGACTACATATTCACTCGAATACTATACAGTAAAAACGTTCAAAGTTAAGGGTGGCCAGCAGGGGCCTGACAAGACAGATTAAAGGCAGCACACAAAACAAGTCGAACGATACTTACGCTGCTCAAGCCCAACGCAGATGCAATCTTGCTGTATTCCGCGCTCGTGGGGGTCACGGTGCCCGCGCAAACTGTGTATTATCAGTCAGCACATCCGATCGAGGAACGGCAGCGTCTTGACGTACTCTGGGATATGCGGCCTTGGTCACTCTGGGTTGCGATAGCGAGTTGCTGTGCGTTCATGCCTGATCGAGGGTCATGATATTCTGTAACGATCGAGTATGTACAACATGCGCACCCTTGTTAGCGAGAGCGCTGGCGAAGGCATTACAGACGGGCATGGTGAATGAGTAGAGGTGGATGTAGGATGATTAGATGCAAGTTGGAGGATAAGAGTCCCTGAGCTGTTTGATTGGTTTATATATGTCACAGTGACAGCTTGACAGGTCAAATGATCAATTCATCATCGCTGTCATCATCATGGTCCGTAAATAGGACCCCATATTAGGGATCTGCAGCCAGGTGACTGGGTGTCCCTGCCGAGAAGAGTATCTGATAAGGCTTCTATATGTGTAGAATTTCGAGTCGATGTGTACTGCTGAAGAAGCGTCTGCTGTTCCACTCACAACAGCGAACGTGATACTAATAGGAGATATTTCATGATATCATTCTGCTAGCCGTAGTATTAAGCAGGGTCCGACCACACGTAAAATTAACGCTGCCTATCGATCGCCATGTTTCTATTAACACGCAGACAGCCTCGCGTGCGAGTCGTAATAGGAGCGCCCAGTAGTGCACGAATATTGAGATCATAGCACATACTACGCATTGATGAATACTAGTGGCCATTGACTTCTATCTTCTCATCTTCCAAACTTCGCTGTGAATTTGGAGGAAGCTTGATAGTCGTGCGTGTGAGTCTGAATTATGACAATTTTGAGGTGAATGGCATGGAGGAGTTTTCAAGCAACTTGATTGTATTTTGTACACGATCCGTGCGTGCAAATTAATTTGAATTTCGCGTACTGTTATTATTTGTTCATGTTTGCTCAGTTCCCCATAGCCCGCTAAACCTTACTTCAGATCCCTCAACTCCAAGGCCCGTATCGCTGAATATACCTCAAGCCCGTCAAAATGGTGCGTATATCGTTCCGTACACCGTCCTGTGATGTTTTATGCCATCAATTTGAGCACCGTTTCGCATTTTTGGCCTGTCATCGAGATGGATTGCAAACTGACTTTTGGATGCACAGGCCCCGAAAAAAACCAAGGTCGCCAAAGAAGAAAACACCGTTTCGCTCGGTCCTCAGGTTGCTGAAGGAGAGCTCGTCTTCGGTGTTGCACACATCTACGCCTCTTTCAACGACACCTTCGTCCATGTCACCGATCTTTCTGGCAAGGAGACCATCTCCCGTGTCACTGGTACGCGCGACTCGCTATCTTGGTATAGATCTTTAGCTACATGATGATCATGAACAGGTGGAATGAAAGTGAAGGCTGATCGTGACGAGTCATCCCCGTACGCCGCTATGTTGGCTGCTCAAGATGTTGCCACGCGCTGCCGCGAGGTCGGCATTACTGCCCTCCACATCAAGCTCCGTGCAACCGGTGGTACTGGCACAAAGACCCCCGGTCCCGGTGCACAGAGCGCCCTCCGTGCGCTTGCTCGCGCAGGCATGCGCATCGGGCGTATCGAGGACGTTACCCCTGTCCCTACCGACTCCACCAGGCGCAAGGTACGCGCTCTCCCGTTTCAAGAAAACATTGTTATTAATTTTAATTTTCTGACAGGGTGGTCGTCGTGGTCGTCGTCTGTGATCTCCATCTTCATGTTATTCCTATGAGATTTCCGAAGAGCCAAAAATTGCTATGCATGTAATTGGAGTTACAAATGATATGTCGCCGTTCGACGCGCATCAGGTTTTTTGCCTGCCCCGCGGTCGTTCACCTGTTTGTGTCTCTAGTATTGTGCTGTCAACATCTTTTGTGCTTCGTATCGACGCGTGAGCGCTGAGCGTGAAAATCATGTGAAAGTTGATCAGGTTTTTGAGCTTCCGCTTTATGTAATGTTTTTTTCTTCCTGCACGCACCACCAGCATAACGCAACATACGCTGTACATCCTCAGCCTGAAGTTATCGAATGCGAGGAGCAGCCAGCAACGGAACTCATGATTGTGTATAGATTTCTGCGGACTGCACCATGTCTGCGTTCTATTCCGAGGTCTGCCACGTCACAGGAGGCGGGAACGGGACGGACCGGAGATCATGTACGTTTCCAAATCCACGTTCATCCACGTAGCAAACTTATCATCATGAGTCCTTCAGTACTGCGACTCATTGTCGACATTGCGGTACTATGCTCTCCCTAATCATTTCCTTTTTCACAACTTGAACCGTTTAAACAACCGGTGTCGCAGCAGCGACGATATCATATCCTCATAGGACCTCGTATCCTCGTAGGATATCATATCCTCGTAAGATATACCACTGGGCAAAATCATCTCTTTTAAAGAACCCATATCCAGCACCCTGCGCACTTCCTCCTCAACCCCAGCAGCTCTTCATCGCTTTTCCCGTGAACCGCAACAGCTCGCAAGCAGACTTGTTTCGCCACACCTCCGCCGCTCTTGCAGCTAGCGAGGTCATCGGTGTATTCCCAGAATGAACGTCGTACACAGAGCCTGGAATCGTGCAAGTGAAGGACGGTGCGGCTGAGTACGTGAAAGCCATGGATTTGTTCGGGAAGGAAGGTAAGGAGTTGGTCATTGTCCCTGCAGCGATAGTTTGTACAGACAAGTCAAAGTATCAGAGCAGAGTAGGTTTTCCAAACAGTGGGCTGTAGGTCTGTGTCGGGTACTTACCTCGGTTTATCGTTGAGTAGGACATTTGAACAGGACCTGCAACCGCTCAGATGCGGCAAACTAATAATGGTGGGCGAATGTGCAGCAAGACTGGATTGAGACTCGGAGTACGCATTTTATGGTCAGAGAGATGGCTGTTGCGATTGATTCGCCGCTCAAGTACTTGACTGTGAATGCTCCTGACTGGTGCGTGTCCTCTTATCATGGACACTAACTGTTCCGTCATTTTGCATGATTCAGGAAAACACTTCGTGCGGCTTGTAAAGGGAGAACGGTGTTTTGGAAGAACGAGGATCGCATCCCGCTTGTCAGATTTGTCGACATCTCTCAAAGGTGAGTTTGATATATCTTGTAGCTCTTGGTCCCCCGAAGTTTCGACGATTGTGAGGTTTGTCGACTCATTGTTGCCAAGAAATGATGAAATGGAAATACGGAAGGTCATTTTGAATAGATACATTGCGCTCCTGCACTGCGCCGGCACTTCTCATTCAGAATTGGAAGTCCTCTACCCATCCGTCGATCTAAATGAAGACTCTCCTATGAGCCCTCCTTTAGCCATCTCGTATCCGCACTAGTGTGACACTCCTGTTTCAACTGTGCGCCACCATGTTCCATCCTCATGCCCTTCTCTTCTTCCTAGCACTTGTGGCTCACGTTCCAGGGAGGGTACTTGTTCGCTCCACGGATGCTGACGATACCACACGAGGAAGAGACCAAGGCTCAGTTCAAGGCTATATTTGGCGGTCTAGCATTAGCCTTATTTTACGGCCTGCTCACACGAGCATGTGTGAAGCTCGCCGTGAACTTTCCCTATTCACAAGAGAGGTGTTGCTATTTTCATCCACAAGATTTCACGATCATCGACGCTGTGCGACTGCCTCGCTGGAAGATAGGGGTCATTGAAGAGAGCGCTCGGTATTCTCGCCATGATAGTTGGGTCGACTCGTTTCCTTTGGAAGTGGCAAAATGCCCTTGTGTATTGCAAGTGATCAAGGCATGTAATTATTTATGATGCTCATTTTGCGAATAGTGAACTATAGGCAGTAGGTGATCTGGGTTGAGACCGCATCCATGAATCTATGTAGTAACATCCATATAGATGGAAACGTTTTCTGACTGCCTTTAGGGTTTTCACGGGCTCCTTGCTTCCTCCATATTTTGATCTACCAGCTGATCAACTTCTAGCGTATTCAACTCTGCCTCTTCCAGTAGAGAATCCGTATATCAAGCGACACGTCGCTGAAGACCCTCCCTACCGTGCACTTAAGAGTCATCGGATGGATGGACGCCGGTGTGAAGCTAAACAAGCTGATGTTCGTGTATTCTGATATGTGGATACGTGAGCGTCTCGTACATTTCTTGATTGTCTAATGTATTTACCTTTAAGAGGCCTGGTCGCTCGAAATTTTGAAAGCATGTCATTAAGAACAAATCAATCTCATCCAAGCGCGACCCAGCCACACAACTCCATCCTCTGACTGATCTCCGTGGGCATCCGCAACACCATCTCCTTATGCAGTTCATTGGCCCTACAGCTCTCTGAACAAAGCACAAACCTCCCAAGCCCTCCCTCCCGTCCTGCGAAGATGCATACCGTCGGCGGTCGCTCAGCACGGAAATAGTACATGGTTGATGAATATGTGTCGATGAGCGTGAACATATGTCCCGCTCCACTCTTCGCTTGTTCCTTTGCATCCTCATATTGCTCGTCTGAGCCTATCCGTCTCGAGAATTGTTCCGGTTTTGAGAACAGTGAACCGCTCGGAGTGAAATACATCCTTGGGAAGTGTGCAATGGTACCCCCGTATAAGTGACTCTCTACCGTTTCTCTATCAACCACTCCTTTGACACCGATCAACCACGGTTGTTTGTTGATTATACGCCCAGATTTGCTGTAGAGAAACATTTGAGGGGAAAAAAACAGGAGGAGGAGTCCGATGCCAATGAGTACGAAGCCTGCTATTTTGCTGGTATTCGGTATAACCCCTAAACCAATGACAATGAATGGCCAGGAGAAATACGGTATGGAACCGACAATCTTCCTCCTCAACGAAAATGTGGTCGCAAATGGGACCTCCGGGAAGTCCTTCCATCTGATGGCTGCCGCCCGACAGCCATCCAAAACGAGAGCTCCGTTCTCTGTTACACCAGCGACTTGGATCTCCGGAAGAATATCCCAGAGATTTGCGTCGTAGATATCATTGTCAGCGTACCAGCACGCCCCTGGTGTGGTGGTTGAGGGAAACATGGACACCATGCGATCAGCGATGCGGTCGTTATCGTTGGCCATCGACAACCTCGCGAGTGCGCGTAACTCATCCTCATCGTGGTTCGGCTGGATACGGTGCTCAAAAAAGCCCATGAGCGCATAAACGTGCTCGGCTTTGTGTGGCTTATACCCCTCGCTGCTGACAGACCCCCCACCTACCATGCCCGACTTTGGTGGTAGTGGAGGAGGGCCAGAAAGTGTTGGAAAACCTGCCATAGCGCGCCTCCATATAGCTTTTTTCAAGAGTGTTAAGCGCTCCAGCCTCTCAAGCGGATCCTTCCCACCGGCGTATGCATTGACAATTGCTTGTTCATCTTCGGAGTTCGTATAAGCCAGGTTAGCCAG